CGAGTGGAGGTCCGTAGTCCCGCAAGGGCAGACGGGGTCGTGGTCACCCTCGGGCCCCTGGGCCGCGGGGCGGCGTCGACCGTCGGCAGCGCGGTGTATGCGTCCGAGCTGGTGGGGGGAAAACACGGAGCGGTGTGGTGGGGGCTGTAGCTCCGCAGCCACGGCGCTGACATGCTGAAGCGCTCGAGAGACTGCCCCCTGTCTGGTCGGCGGTACGCTGAGGCGTGGCTCGTGAGCCAGTGTTGGTGGAGCTCACGCTGGCACCGAGGTAGCTATCGTAGGGCTGTTGATGGTGGTTGGGGCGTGCGGTGCCGTACTCCGAGCAGCTGCTCAGACTCGCTTTGCTCACCGTTGTGCTGCTGCTGCTGCTGCCGCCTGTCGCGAGGCCCGGGCTCGTAAGCAGAGCACTGCGGTCAGGAGCAGGCTGGGCCGTCTCCGACGCGCCGTGGGTGGAGCGCCGCATAGCCGATGCGTCCGCGGTGCGGCTCGATGTAGAGCCCGTTTGCATCACGATGCGGCCCGAAGGGGGCGCCGCCGAAGCATCGCTGATGTCGCCAATACATCGTCGAAGCCTCGTCGAAGCATCATCGATGCCTCGCCGTGACGTCGCAAGCCTCCCTCCGTGAGCGCTGGTGGGGCCTCCGCAGGTGCTGCCTCGCGGCCGGTCGCGGCTGGCACAGCAGGGCAGGTCCTGGGGCCCGGGGTCGCCGTGCTGCCTGGGCTGCTAGAGAGCGAGGAGGGACCGCCAGAGCAAGAGCGTCGTCATCGAGAAGAGCGATGCGGTAGGCCTCCGTGGTGGCGGGGAGCTGACTCGTAGGGTTGGTCCGCGGTGGCCGCGGGCGTGGAGCCTCGGAGCTCGCAGAGGGCGCGGCCGGTGCCGACGGTCGTCGGGCCTCTGCGGCAGAGGGGTGCCCCTGCACCGCTCGCGTGGGCGGGAGGGACTGGGGCTCCAGCGGCGTGGGTGGCGCACGCCGGGGCAGCTGGCACCACGTCGGTGGTGACGGCAGTCGGGGCTTCGTCGTTTGCGAGGAGCTGGGTAGGGTCGTCCAGCGTACGCTTCGAAGCAACTGCCTGGGGGGGGGCCCTGGTGGGAAGGGCCTGCGCCTGAGGTAGGCCACGCCCGCCGCGAGGAGTCGCTTGAGGCGTCTCATCGCCAAGTGGTTTACTGGGCGCAGGTGCCGGCTCCGCGCTGCAGTCACCTGCGGCAACCGGTGCTTTGGGGGCCGCGGCCAATTCGGCCAGGCGCCAGCCGGCGGCAAGGCCCTGGGCAAGGGCTGCGGCCTCGGCCTGGCCGTGGGCGCTGGCCTCGTCAGCGACGCCGCTGGGGCTGCCTGCTAGCGTTACGTTAGCGCGGGGGCCTCTTTGGGTGAGGGCATTGACCGGGTCCAGGCCCAGGCCGTTAGGACGTCGTTCCAGAGATCGGCGTCTCGTGCGGCTGCGTCGGTTACTGTGGCCGCGGCGTCACTCCTTACGGGGGCGGTGGGGGCGCACGGGAGCTGCGGCGCGCGCAGGGAGTCTGAGTGAGCACACGCGGCCGAGCTGAGTTCGCCCGTGACTGCTGCCGGTGCTGCTGGTGGCACGACGCCCGTCGTGGCTGTCAGTTGCCCGTCTCCCGGCGGAGTGTCGGCGTCGGGGGACGTGCTGGCCTTGATGCCAGTGGCGGCGACGACGGTCAGCGAGCGTAGGCCTCACACTGCCGGTGACGGTGCAAGGGTACTGGGTCGGGGTGGTGGAGGCAACTCCGGTGGCCACAGCCGTCTGTTCGCCCTTGCGGGGGTGCGAGGTGCTGGCGAGGCGACGGAGGCGGTGGACGAACGGTTTCATGCGTCGGCCCGGCGGAGGCCACGCAGCGGCTGCGGCGAGGAGGCGCACTCGACGTCCGCACGAGGCGTCGGGGCGCTGGCGGCGTCTGCATCCGCGGAAGGCGTCGGGGCGCTGACCGCTTGCGCCTGCGTGCGAGGCGCCGCGCCCACGTCATCCCAGGCATCGTAGACCTCCTGCTTGCAGGCGTCGTGCTGAACCGACGCTGAGGGGGAGGTGGCCTCGCTAGGGAGCTGAGCTTTCTTCGCGGCGGACCTGTAGAAATCGGCGCAAGACTGGAGGCTGGACGCCCAGAGACGGGCGACGCAGTCGTCTGCGAGGTGGACGACCCATAGGGCGTCGGGGTCCTGGGCGACTACCACGCCGTGTAGTCCGTTAGCGGGGTTGTGGAGCTGATTGCGAACAGCAGCTCTGGAGCCGACGCCGATCGAGCCTCCGGGGGGGGCGTCGGGCGCCGGCCTGCGAGGCGACGGAGAGCGCTGGGGGCGGCGGCTCCGCATGCGCCCGACGGCCTCGTAGTGCTTCAAGTCCACGCCGCCGAACCTCACGCGGCGCTCGACCATGGAGTAACCTGGCGGGAGCTGGGTGCCAGGGCCGGGGGTCGCGTCTACCGTCGCGACGCTGGGCGCCTCCGCCGTGTTGGCGTCGGCGCTGAACGGCGTGGGGTTAGCGCCAACGTCAGAGGAGGGCGGGGCCTCGGCGTTGGCGTCGCCTTGGAAAAGCATGTTTGGCGCAGCTGCGGCGCCGTCTCGTTCGAGGGGCGTTGCCTCCGTTAGTGGCACCTTGCATGGCGTTGAATCGCCGACAGTGTGCTGCGTGAAAGTGGCCTCGTGAGCAAATGTGCCGGCTGCGTCGTCCTCGTCGCGGCCGTCGGAGGCGACGGCGCTGCATGCGAGGGCTGGGGCGTCGGCAACGGGGCCGCACGAGGAGCGAACGACGGTGGACTGGGTCGGGGTTGCTCCGTCAGCGTCAGCTGCTTCGGCCGACTGGTCGCACTCGTAGGCTCGTACGGGTGCGAGGGGCGGGCGAGGCGACGGAGGCGGCGGACGAAGGGCTGTGGGCGGCGGCCCGTCGGGTGCCGCGCGGCAGCAGCTGCGTAGAGGCGGTGCGCTCGGAGGGTGGTCCACTCGACGTGCACGCTGGGCGGCGGGGCACTGGCAGTCGTCGCCAGCGTCCGGGGCGTCAACTTAATGTCGCCCCGGGACTCGGCGTCCTCCTGCTCGCCGGCGCCGTGCTGAGCAAGCGCTGGAAGGGGGGTGACCGCGATAGGGCTCGGTGCTCCCAAAGCGGCGCCGTCGGGGTCGAGGCGCGACGCGAGCGTGAGTGGCAGAACGCACAGCGGGGGGGTAACGAGGGCGGCAGGCGTGGACGTGGCGGCCTGCGCTGCGTCACAGCTACCGGCGCTAGGTCGGTCACGTTCGTCGCTGGTGTGCACGTCGGGGGCCGCGCCCGTAGGTGGCTCTCGGCGCGACGCGGGGTCGACGACGGCGTCGAAGGCCGCGACATTGTCCGCGGTGGGGTTGGCGGCCGCGTCGCCCGTGGCGGCCCCCGCGACAGCAGTGATAGCGCAATCGCTGGGAGCGCTGGGGTCGGCGGCAGCTTGGACCGCCCCCGATGTGGAATCCGCGGCGCTGCACGGCAGGGTGAGCGCGGCGCCTTTACAGGAGGGCTGCAATTCCGCAGCGTTGGCGTCGGCGCTGGCGGCGAAGGGCGGGGCCCCTGCGCAGGTGCTTGTAGGAAGATCTTCAGGGGGATTATCAGCGTGAAGATCCTTTGGGATCGCCAGGAAGATCTTCCTCAACAGGGACCTATTCAGGTAGATCTCCAAGAGGATCGTCAGACAGATCTTTAGGACGTTCGTGCCTTGTTTTCCAGGAGGTGCATTCACGTACATCGTCAGGTACGTCTTCAGGTACATCTTCAGGAAGCACATCAGGAGGCTCGTCAGGAGGTGCGTACTCAGGAGGCTCTTCAGGAGGCTTCAGAAGGTACTTTTCCAAGTACACCTTCAGCAGGAAGGCCTCCAGGTATTTCTTCCAGGAGATCGTCGGGCACATCATCCCGAGGGTCGTGCCATGTCCTCCAAGAAGTACATCTTCAGGTGCATCATCAGGTACGCCATCAGTCTCATATTCAGGAAGTTCATCATGAGGCTCGTCAGGAGGTACATCTACAGGAGGTTCCAGGAGGTACTTGTCCAAGTACATAGTCAGCACGGAAATCTGCACGTACATCTTCAAGAGGAGAGATGCTCTCCAGGATGAGCTTGTTGTCCAAGTTGGCGAGGGCGCGCTCGTGGTTCAGCCGGATCCAGGAGACCCTGTGGGTGGCGCACAGGCGGTGGAGTGCGCGTCGGAGGACTTCTAAAGAACCGCGGTGGGTGGTCCCTACCAGCTCCAGTGCGTCGCCGGCTTGCTGCGCAAGCTCGTTGTAGGAAAGCACTGGGCAGTCGCCTCCACCTTGGCGGAACGCCTCGATGCATGCGCCCTTCCGCGCGAACTTACTCTCGGGGTCGGGCGCTGTGCATCGAGGGTTTGGGTGCTCAGCATCCACGCGGCGGTGCGGGCGCGGCGGTGCCATTGCGCGCGCCGGCGGGGGAGAAAGGGGGGGGGTGACGTACCAGTTGCGCCCCTGCGGGGGCGGGAACGGTCTCGCCTCGGGAAGGCTACGTCATAGCTTGCCGGCACCCCTGTGCCTGGAGCCAAGGCTTGAGCCAAGGCTTGAGCCAAGGCTTGAGCCCAACTGGCTACGGACGAAGGGAGAGAGAGAGAGAGAGAGGGAGAGAGAAAGAGAGAAAGAGAGAAAGGAGAACAAAAAAAAAAACGAACAAGAGAAAAAGAGAGAGAGAGAGAGCGAGACAGAGATACGGATAATAAGAACGATAGAGAGAGATAACCAAAACAACCAACAACAAAAAACAGATGACCCAAAGAGGGGGTCCCGCCGCAGGGTGTATTATAATTCGGATGTCATGGGAGGGTTTCGGCGCGGTTTCGCCCAAGAGCCTCGGCCCACGAACCTCGGCCTTCGGCCCTCGGTCCTCGATCCTCATCGTCGACCCTCGGCCCACGAACCTCGGCCCTCGGCCACGAAACCCGTCCAACGGACCTCGGTGTTCGGTCCTCGATCCTCGGTCTCACGTCCTTCATGTGCGCCGGCGGGGCCCGGGAGGTCCGTCGCTAGCCGCTCGCGCCCGCCGCCCGGGTCCGCCAGGCGGCTGCCTCCTCCGCGTCCCTTGGGCCGCCGACGCCCTGGTCCAGGTAGAGGGCCAGGTTCGCCATCGCCGTCGCCTCGGAGAACAGGCGGGAGAAACACCAAGGTCTCCCGCGACATGGTCAGCTGGGGCGGAAAAGGATCCGCGCGCAAAGGCGCTGGATCTCAGGGGCCGCGAAATTTGAAGCTACCCTGAAACGTACCCAACCCACCAGCACGGAGTGACACAATGTGCTAGTCCAGGATCGCACGGCTGATGGCAGCGCAAGAGGTGTTATTGGTTGCGCAAGCTATGTGTCAAACGCGCGCGCTGCGCGACTCACAGGGCAACAGCAGAAGGACAAGGACTGAGGCTCCAGGCTCGAAAAAGAAATCGGGTGGGAACGAGAGGCAGGTGAAACAACTGACGAGTGGCCGAACACTTACTGCGACAGCGACATTGACACGGTGGAAGGAGGACGAGGACGACGTGAAAAGAGGAAGAGGAGGACAACGAACAACGAACGAGGCAGGATGGGGATTTGCCAGTGGTGCGCTGGACAAGCAGCGCGGCCCGCGCCATGTCGCTCTGGCGCTCCAGAGGCGCAGCTGTTCATAGCAGCCCTGCGTAGGACGTCGCTACGCTGGACCTCCAGGCAGCCCTGGAAAGTGGCGACGCTGTCGCAGTTCACAGCGCCCCAGGGATGGCCAGGTCTAATCAGAATCTGCGTAGCGCGTCACACAACTGGACACATCAGCAAACCTTGAAAGTGGTGACAGCTTGCCAGTTCGCAGCTCCGCAGGGATGACGAGGTCAAATCTGGATCTGCGTAGCACGTCACTCCGCTAGACCTCCAGTTTATACCTGCGTAGCACGCCACTCCGCTGGACTCCCCAGCCGCCCTCGAAAGTGGCGACAGCGTCGCATTTAGCACCCCCCCAAGGATGGCGAGGTCGATTCTGAATCTGCGTAGCACGTTACTCCGCTGGACCTCTGAAGCCCTCGAAAGTGGCGACGGTGTCGAAGCCGCAGCCCCCCACCCTCTCTAGGGATGGCGATGTTTAGTCTGAGTCTGCGTAGCAGGTCATTCCGCTGGACCCCCTAACAGCCCTCGAAAGTGCCGACAGGGCTGCCGAGAAGGTCGAATCTGAATCTGCGTAGCAAGTCGCTGCGCAGCACCCCCCACAAGCCCTCAAAAGTGGTGACGGTTTAGCAGTTCGCAGCCCCCCCCCCCGGGATGGCGAGGCCTAGTCTGAGACTGCGTAGCACGTCTCTCTGCTGGACACCACAGCAGTCTTCGAAAGTGGCGACGGTGTCGCGGATCGCAAACCCCAAAGGATGGCGGTGTCTAATATGAGTCTGCGTAGCACGTTACTCTGCTGGATCCCTTAGCAGCCCCCGAAAGTGGCGAATGTTTCGCAGCTCGCAACCCCCTTTGGGAGGACGAAATCTAACTTGAATCTGCGTAGCATGTCACACTGCTGGATCTCCCAGCAGCCCTCGAAAGTGGCGACAGTGTCGCAATTAGCACCCCCCAGAAATAGGGAGGTCTGATCTAAATCTGCGCAGCACGTGAATCCGCTGGACCCCCAAGCAGCACTCGAAAATGGCGACAACTCTGCAGATCGCAGCCCACCTCCCAGGAATGGCGAGGTCTAACTTGACAGTCCCGTTTCCCGAAGCCAGACACTGCGAATATGCTCCAGACCCGTATCCCTCAGGACCCGCGCCCCCCATGGCGAGGCACGCGCTGCGCTTCCACACGAGCGTATCGGGGCGGCCGAGAGCCCATTGCGACTGCGGTCGCCTGCCCGCGCTGCGCGGCCTCCCGGAGCCGCCGGCGCGCGCACTCGTGGCGGCCCGCGCTGGCGTCCAGGGCGGCCAGCTGGCCCAAGGCCGGCAGGTGTCCCAGGGCGGCGGCCCGCTCGTAGAGGCCGCGGGCCTCGTCGCGGCGGCCGCCGAGCTGGGAGAGGCGCCCCAGCTCGAAGAGCGCATCGCCTCGGAGGGGCGCGGCGCCCAGGCCCCCTCGCGTCGCGACAAAGATCGAGACGGTCGTTTGTGCTGCTACTCTCGGCCTCTGGGGGCCCTCGCCTGGCCCCAGTGCCGTCAAAAAATCGGCTCAAGATCAAACGCTGGGCTCGGGGAAGGGGACGGGACTTCCGGGGATCGCCTCGGAGGGGCACGGCACCCGAGCAAAAGGACTGTGTGGGCTTTGTCTCATTGGGGGGGGAGGCGGTGAACGGAGATGGCGAAGAGAGGTGCACCGTTCGTGCAACTTCGGGGCCCTGAAGGTGTACGAGAGGCGTACCTTTGCTCGCCCCCCCGTTCATTGCCCCTCCTTGAGCAACCCCAACTCGTGCTTCCTACCCTCAGAGCAGGGCGTCGCCTCGGAAGAAGGGCACGGCACCCAGGCCTCCAACGTAATGAAACATGAAGTGCGGAATGTTTGACAGCTTTTTCTGCATCTAAGTGCCCTTGATCGGCCCCAGAAGCGTCAAACGATACTCAAGATTCATAATGAAGCGGCCCTGGGGAACGGGTCGAGACTTCCAGGGATCGCCTCGGGAAAGGGGCACGGTGGCACGGCATCCGAGCAGAACTATTCTGGCTTGATCCTCAGACCCAGGCGTTGTAATCGCTTCGCGCTAGGCACTTTCGCCCCGTGCTTCGGGCCCGCGGGCCATCACGGATCGATACGGCTTGAGGAATGCTGCAGACAATTAGGGTCTAGGGCGCCGTTCGCGGTTTTCGTGATGCTGCATGCTTGTGCGAAACGTCGGACCTCGGGAACGGGACTCGGGACACCCAGGGAGCACGGGCACGCTTTTGGGGCCCGGCGGCTGCGGTATGCAGTCGTCGGTCCGTCGAAGGCATGACACGGGACACCCGGGGAGCACCGGCACACTTTGGGCCTGGCCGCCGCGGTATGCAGGGTGGGCAAGGCGAGTCGGGGGCTCTTTCTTGAAAACTAACAACCCCAACCTGTCGGGTGGGCAATCAAACTGCACAATCCTTTACCATCGAAAACAAATGAAATCATGAATGTTGAGGCTGATGCGAACAGAAAGAAGGCTCTTTGACGCACACCTGGGGCACCGAGCTGCACGGTAGCCAGAACGATGCCTTTCGCGACCCAGCGTCGCTCGTCAGGCATGGCTGCGAAGAAACATGCAGGCCAACACATTGGGATCTCTCAGCGCTGCCTTGGCATGGATACCCCAAGGGCACCCGGGCCGCGGGCCCCAGACCTTCACCGCGCTGGAAAGCTCAGCGTGGATGATTGCTCGTCGTTGTCGGCTTCTGGGGGCGCTCGCCGGGCCCCCAGACCTGACCAGAAAACGAGCGAGTCTGGCTAGAAAGCTGGCCCTGGAGGGAAAACGGGGGCTTCTGGGGACCCCATCTCACAAAATTACACCTGGGGGATCAAAAACAAGCTCAGTGGATCTCCCGGGCAATTTCGCATGCGCTCCAGGCCTGCCCTCTCCGTCTCCCTCACTCCTAGTGTCTGCTATTTACTTGGTATGCCCTCACACCTCGCTCTGCACTCGATCGTCACAGACATACCCTCAAGTATAAGCATATGTCATATCAATATACCTGACGATGAGACTCATATGCTTTCTCTATATATAATATATCATTATCTATGTTTCCCGATGTCTCCCTCTTCCTCTTCTTTATACAGAGCTGTGCGTTCAACTTCCTATGCGCTGTGACATGTACTCTCTGTATTTACAATGTGTCCTCTCATTCTGACCTCCCCCTCCATTTTCCAATCAAGAATCTCACACCGGTCGGAATTTACCTCTCCCAAGACGTCTATATATAACACAATATCGGTCTCTATTCCGTCACTCCTACTCTCTGTCTCTGGTATGTGTTACTGCCATGCTCACTCCGTATACCCTCAAGGGTCGATATACCCCCTGTTATCTAACATCTATTCTCGATTTCATCGGATTGAATATGACTTGTTCTATCATTTCCTCCACGCTCTAACAGAGAGAGGGAACTATACCTATATATATGTATAGAAATGAATGGATATCGTCAACCTAGCCCTGGTCGCAAACGATCCGACAAAACAAAAGAACCTGTAAACCCAACCTTACCATGAACCCTGGACCCTGAACCGGGAACCTGGGAGAATGGCCGCTCACCGAAATGAGCCTAGAACCCAAAACCGAGAACCGTAGAGCGCGAACGCCCCACGGAGTCGGCCCAGACACGTTCACCTACCTTATCAGTCTCCAATGAGACCCTTTCAGTGCAAGCACTGATGGGGGAACTACTCTCTGTTCTCACTCTCAACGTTATACTCGTTACGCTCTGTTAGGCCATACGCTGAATACGACCGATCATATCAAACTGACCATGCCCAAAAGGACCTGAGTACTTCGTGGCAACATGGACCTGGGCAATTCGCAGCCGCAAAAAATTCGCTGAGAACTCCGGACGCGGAACAAAGAACCCCAGAACACCGAAATCGGCTCGGAACCCGGAGCTGCGAATTCGGGAACCCAGGACCCAGAACCCAAGAACCTGAGCGCCAACCGAAATCGGCCTCGTACATTCGCCTACTCTGTCAAGATTCGCTAGGTCCCCGTCAGTGCAAGCACTGATTCTGGAGTGAAGACACCAGGTTGGGAGGGCAGGTTCGTGTGACGCCGTGATTACATCGGCGCTGGTCTCAAACACCGCGAAGATACCCTGAACGATCGCTCTTCTCCGATAGCGCGGATCATTCGACTGCGGGCCAGTCCGCCCTCAACTTTGGACGCCCGCGCCGAGGTCGCCACCGCGCCAACGCTTCGCGGAGCGCACAATGGGGTAGTGCAAGAGGGACCGCCTTACAGGCGACTTCTTAGAGGGGTCCTGGGGCCCATCGGAAGCCGAGAGGGGGCCGATCGAAAGCCAGGAGAACTTCAACGAAACCGCATGCCTTTTAAAAGGCGCCCCCGGCTTCTTGGAAGTCCGCCCCCTCGCGCCACTCCCCTCCGCGTGGCGCGAAGACGCGGCGCGAGCCTACCCTCGGCACCGGTGTCACGGACCACCCGCCGCGCTTCTCGCCCGCTTCTGCGCCATCCTGCATGGGCGGGGCCGCGCAGCGGTCCGTGCGGCAGCGCTGCTGGCCCAGACATGGGGCGATCGGATGTTGGCGAGTCGTGGGCCGTTTCCGGTGCTGGCCTATCACATCCCGAGCCCCTTCCCGACGGCCCCGAGGTCCGAAGCGGGCCCCGAGGTGGCGAGAGTGACGGGCAAACCTGCCGCATCGGCTCACTCGATGCGCTGCATATCGAGGGCGCAGTTGACAACTTCTGCGACGGCACCCACAGCGAATCCTGCTCAAAATGGGCAGGACCTGCCGTCCGTGGAATCAGCAACAACTGCACGCGGGCAACACGTCGGGAAGTGTCAAACAGCACATACGAAATCGAGAGCCGCAACCATGACCAGGACTGAACATAGACATAGAAGAAAAGGAAGTGTCGCTCTCGGTCATCGTCCATCTTGGTCATCGCCCATTCGTGAACCACCCTCGCGCATCAGCAAAAAGATCGGCGTCGACAAGACACCGCGACATCTTGGCCATGGTTATTGTATTTCTTCCCCCGACGATCGGTATCGTGCTGTTCCCCCTGCCGCCAGCGCCCTCCACGGTTTGTTTCACTCGCGTGGACCCCAGAGATCCGAATCGTGAAACTCACGACGAGAGCCACAGACCCCATCATCCTGCGTCAGCTTCCCAACTGGATCGATCTGTGATAGCCCCGCACGGCTCGCAGCTGGGTAAAAAACGCGCTGCGTAACGAAAACTGCAGCGCCTGGACCTGTGGAATCCCACCAGCCCTCTGGGCGTAGGTGGTTTAACGAGTCTTGTCTGTTCTCCCCTCCTTCCCCTGCGTGGGGAAGGGGCTTGCCCCTCCCCCTACCCCCTCCCCTGGGCCTGGGAGGGTTTGGGGGGGACCAGGTAGTGAGAGTTTCAAGATGGGCCCATGATGGCTTGAAGAGGGCCCTCGGCAGCCCAAGACGGCCTCCAGGATGGCTCAAGGTAACCGAACATGGTTCAACAGAGCCTCCTACACACCTCCAAAAGGCCCAAAGACAGCCCAAAGACGGTTCCAAGTGCACTTCGAGCCGTCCTGGGCATCCCCTAATAGGCCACAATCTCTCAACAATTTAAACATAATCAATGTGTTTTGCCTTCTCGCTTTTTCGATTGGCTTTTGATGCCTCAAGGTGGCCCCAAGATGGCCCAAGAGAGCCCCAAGAGAGGCTCAAGAGCGAACCAACACGGTCCCAAGAGCGCCCAAGAAATGCCCAACAGCGGCCCCAGAGAGCCCCAAGACGCCATGTTTGAGTCTCCGAGGGGGGGGGGGCGTGAATTGCCCCCCCTCCCCTTTCTCCCCGCCCCCTTTTCCGAACCATGTGGGCCAAGAGGCCTCCCAGACCCCTCCAATGAGCCCCAAGAGGGCCCCAAGACCCCCAAAACGAGGCCTCTTGGCCCCAAGCGTGCCCCAAAAGGCTCCACGGGGACCCCAAGAGAGCCCCTCAAATGGCCTCAATCGTCCCTCAAGAACATTTTACAACAACATATCTCGAAAGCCCGACTTCTCATCCTCCTTGTCATCGCCCCTTCCTTCACTCCTCCTTTCCTGCCTCCTCCTCCTCCTCCTCCTCCTCCTCCTCCTCCTCCTCCTCCTCCTCCCCCCCTTCCTCCTCCTCCTCCTCCTCCTCCTCCTCCTCCTCCTCCTCCTCCTCCTACTCCAGATAGCTCCGACAGACCTCCAAGAGGTCTCAAGAAAGCCTCACGATGGCCCAAGATAGCTGAGCATGGCTCAAGATTGCCTCCGACGGCCTCTAGCCGAGCATGGCCCAAGAAAGCCTCCAAGAGGCCTCAAGAAAGCCTCCGACCGTGTCTGGATGGGCTGGTGGGGATACACAAAGCGTCAAGAACCAGGTGGCGACATCCGAACCCTACCCCCACCAACCATCGATTCTCCTGAATCGATGGCAGGCGGGGTAGGGATCCAATTTCGCCACGTGTTCGACGAATTCCGACCCGTTTGCCCCCGCCGCCCATCGAATTGCCTGAATCTTTGATCGGCAAGGGTAGAGTTAGGATTTCGCTGCCGACCCGACCCGTGCCAGTCTGCATCCCCAGTCGCCGGCGCCCTCCGCGCCCTCCTGCGCCGCCGCGAGCCGCAGCAGCCCAACCGCCCGCCGCTCCTCCCCGGCCCGCAGGTGCACCAAGGCTGCCCTGTTCGGGCAGGACGCTGATCGCAGATCTCCGACGATGTTGTTCGTTTGTGGTTACTCGGTGCAACATGTACAGATATAGTATACATACACATCTATATATATAGGAAAACATACACGTCCATATATCGATATATACCTCTATACATACAACACACATACAAACACACACGCACACACACACACATCTATGTGCATAGATGTACTTATATACAGCGCTGCTGCGTCTTTTTTTATATCAATTTCGGCCTCTGGGTCCTGCTACCGGTTCCCAGGTCCCAGGGGCATCAGACATGGAACCGGGGCTACAAACTGCCGACAATGAAGGAATGGGCCGGGGCCTCTGGGGCCGTGCGTTGAAACAAATTCTCATCGCAGGATTTCTGGGGGCGTCCCTGGCTCTAGGTGTCCCCAGCTTCCCGCTCCATTCTGGAGCCCCTGGGGCACTCTGGGCCTTGTGCTCTGGAAGCTGTGGGCCCAGAGACCTGATGTCTTGATTATTTTGAAACGGGGTCCCTAGGTCCCGACCCTTTTCCAGTTTCCAGGGTTGGCGTTTCATCTCGCAACGTTTTTCCATTGTCCCGGGGCCAAGCGATAGCCCCAGGAGATCGAAAACAGCAAAAATAAAAACGTGTGCGCGCGGGCGTAATTCTCAATTCTCGATGCAGGCACTGTCTGGACTGGAAGGCCCCAGATCTGGCAAGAACTGGCGCGTTCCCTGGATTGGCCGACCGCAGCATCTCTAGTTTCACTTGCATCGGCAGAATTTTCGCCCAGCGCCCATTTTGGCGTGATATGTTGGAAGTCTTGGGCTGCGGTAGATCCTAAACACAAGCTTTCGGAGGTCCGCGCGCATTTGTCTTGGATCGGCGCTGGTGCCGGGCGCACCGAGCGGCGCCAAGGCGCCGCCATGGGGGGGTCCCAGCGCCGATCCAGGAAATCCGCGCGGAGCTACGAGACATCATGCTTGTGCAGATGTTCGTTCCTAGTCCCTAGTCGAAACACAAGAGGACGTGTAATCGAAGGGCATTCGATTGCAATGCCTGGGCCGGGGGGGGGGCCTTCTCGGACATCCTGAGGGGCCCCTTGGGCCAAACACGCTTCTGGCAGCACCCGTGGGGCCTGTGCTGCCCGAGCGCGCTGCCCTCCGCGGCGGAGGCCGCGTACCAGACCGCGGCGTCGCTGCCGGGCAGCGCGACTCGACCCTCCTGGAGCAGCACAAGACCCGAGGTTCGAAGCTCGTCGAAGATTTCGGACGCATCTGTTGGTCGAAGGATTGCAAAAAAACGAAGGATTGCAAAACAAAAACCCGAAGCTCGTTGAAGCTCGTCGAAGGATTGCAAAAAAACGAAGGATTGCAAAAAAACCAAGGGTTTTTTTGCAATCCGAAGCTCGTCGAGGATTTCGGACGCATCTGTTGGTCCCCTGGGGTCCCCCAGACTCGGACTGCTTTTCTCAGCGGCCGCGCCTCGCCGAGAAAGGCGCCCATGGCGCGCCGGGATCGTCCTGAAACGACCGCCGGAGGCCCGACCTCCTGCGTATATATGGGCCTCTCGGGACCTCGCTGGGCGAGAGACGTCCCAGGGAACCTCGCTGGCCGCATTTGACCTCGCTGGGCGAGGAACCTCGCTGGGCGAGGGACCTCGCTGGGCGAGGGACCTCTAGGGACCTCGCTGGGCGAGAGACGTCCCCTAGGGACCTCGCTGGCCGCATTTGACACAGAACGATACAGCGGATCTCTAAGAACAAGGCGCATCACCTTTCGGAGGTCCGCGCGGATCTCTCGGTTCGGTACCGGGCCCTCGCTCCCGGGTAGGCGAAACGTGCCAGGGGCGCCGCCGAAGACGCTGGCAAGGGCGGGCCCAGCGCTAACACAACAACTCCACGCGGACCTCCGACAGCATCGAACCTCGATCCTCGCAAGCATCGAACCTCGATCCTTGAAAGCATCGATCCTCGAAACCATGCTCATGTGTTTCTTCTTCCTCGATCCTCGCGGCACAGCGCGTCCCCGAGGCGAGCCGCGGCGTTGGCGTCGCCTGCGCGCGCCAGAACCTCTAGGCCGAGCCGCTCGATCTGCACGGCGGCCCACGGCCTGACTGCCGTGCGGAACCACACGATAATCGGAGGAGGGCAAGTCGAGACAACGGCGGCGCTCGCTGTCGTCTTTGTTGTCCTTTCTGCGCCTCTCTCGGAGGCTTCTCTCGCCGCCACGGCTGGATCCGCGTCGAAAAACAAGTCAGGACGGATCCTGGGAGGGGTAAAGGGACACGTTTTGAGCGGATTGGGCCAGGCGGGAGAGCTGCCGTGCTCTGAGCAGGCCCTCGTCCGAAATGAGGGAGACACGCTCCTCATCGCCGGTCACGTCGACTCCGTGCAAGAGGTCCCACCCGTGCACCGCGAAGCTGCCAGCGGCGCGCAGGTCGACGAACTCCCTGCTCGAGGGGCAGGCAGTGTGCTGGACGAACAGCCCGGAGTCCGGGCGCGGGGGCGTCAGCGAGCACACGGCCGTCATGGCCACGCTCACGTCGTAGTGAGGCGCGACCCAGCGCCGCTGCCCGACCGCGTAGCGCCGCACGAACACCTGCGAAGGGAACAGCTCCTCTGCCCGGGGGCCCCTCAGCAGCCGCACCCGGCGCTCCAGGTCCCGCAGCGGGCCCTCCAGCACCGCCTGCAGCGGCCCCACCTCTGGGCGCCAGCTGCCGGCCGTGACCACCTTCATGGTGTGGCTGGGCCGGCCGTCCATGGCCGAGGGGGTGTCGTAGACCAGGCCCTCCAGCTGGCGGACCGCGGCCAGCGCCGCCGCCACCTGCTCTGCCGACATCACCCCCCGCAGCACGTTGAGGGCGGCGGGCGTGGGCGTCGACTGCAGCAGAGCGGCAAGCCCGTCGACCGCTGGCTCCTGCAGCGGTGGGCATGGCGACCCCCCAATCCCCGACCGTTGTGGGACCTCTGACTTGACATGAAATCTGAGGCCAACCGAGGGATACACGACGGGGGGGTCCACTCTCGATAGCGGTGCGTCCGAATAGCCCTCTGCAGGTGCACAGTGGTCCCTGATCCCCAGAGATCCAAAAAACCGGTGGGTCTTGGAGACCCGAGGCATTGTTTTTTTTGCACAGGAAATGCGAAAGCTCCGACCCATTCCCTGGGGCCGATGTTGCATCCCAAGTCGTCTTGCAAACGGTCCCCAAGGTCCCGGAGCGAGGGCCCCTGGAGGCCGAAAGAAGCGACACACCTCCGCGCTGAATTGTCCAACACGTGGGAGGCCTTGGACCTCCCATCCGTGACGATCGCTGACCCCTGAGATCCGACATGGCCCCCAAAAGTACGACATCGAGAAAATTACGACTGGATCCTAAACCCGATCTTTCCACTGCACTCTTCGAGCCGGGTCGACCTGTGATGGCCCCAGGGCCCGCAGCTGGGCGACAGCGCCTTGTATGAAACAGGGCACCGCCGAGTTCTGAGGGGCGAGCCTGGCACGCGAGACGATCGCTGACGGTCCAGCACGCGACAAGACACCGCCGACGATCCCGGCACGCCGCCGCGCCCGCGCGAACCCAGGCCTTGCAGAATCCTGCGCCCAAGCCCGGGTCCGTTCAACCCTGCCCCTCTGGCGCTCTGACTGACCCCCGTTTGCCCCTTCAGCCCCGGCACCTCCCGCGCGGCCCGCGCCCGGCCGCGCACCGCACCCCGCCGCGCCCGCCGCGCCGCGCCGGCGGCGGCGGCGGCACCGCCGCCCGCGCCGCCCGCGCAGGCCAGCGCGCCCCCTGCCGCCCGCGGGCGCCCGCGCACCCGCGGCGGCGCGGGGCGCGGCCGCGCGGGCGCGGCGGGCCGCTCCGGGAGCGCCGCGGCCGCGCTCGTCGGGCGTTGTGGTATAGTGGGGAGGCGATGAGCTCGCCATCGCTCGGGCGCCCATTCCCCGTGCGTGTGCTCGGCTCTGTGCGTGCATTCTTCCGCAAGGTGGCCCAGCAGACTCCTCGATGGCCCTCGCCGAGGAAGAGGGCACACGTCCGAGCGATGCCAACCGAGGGAGCGCTTTTTAATTTTCGGCGGGGGCCCAAGTTATCCGACGGGGGGGGAAGGGGGGAGGCGCGGGCCGAGAGCCCTGTGGGGGCGCGGAGACACGTGCCCCCTTCGTGTCCCGGTTGGGCCCCCAAGGGGGGGCCTTTCAGAGGGCGCCTCGGGGGCACGCACGATGGTCCCGAGACGGTCCAGGGGCACCCGAAGACACCCAAGATCGCCTCAAGATGGCCCCAGGACGGCCCAAGAGGGCCCCAAGAAGCCAAGAAGGCCGAGAGGGCTGCATGCCTCAATGATCATCGCCCCGCCACTACGCAACGCCCGAGCTCGGGAGCATCTCGGCGCGGCCGGCTGGCCGAAGCGCGGCCCCGCGCGGGGGCTCGGAGAACCGCGCGGGGCTCTGCGAGCCGGGGCGACCTGCGGAGATCTCACGCGCTCCTCCTCCCCAAGGCTCCCCTCCCTCGCGTCGCGGCAAGAGTCACGGCGAAGGTGTGTGCTGCAAGGTTCGGCCCGTGGGGGCCCTCGACGGGCCCCAGGGCCGTCACGAAACGACTCAGGGTAAAAAGCCGGTCCCAGGGAACGGGTCGAGACCTCGGAGGTTCCACGCTGTGGGAAAATCATGACGGCTGGTGTCAGGGTTCGATGGGTGCGGCGTGGCTCCTCTTGCGGCTGCTGCTCCGCTTCAGCCCTCCCCCCTCCCTGCCCCCATCGCTGCCCCTCCTGCTCATCCTACTGCCCTCCCCGTCCTCCCACTCAATGTCCTTCTTCTCTTCCTCCGTCCTCTTTACTGCCTCTGGGAAGGCCTCTTCTCCTCAGCGTGCTGCCTCCTTGGCCTCCTCCTTGACATCCTTGCTCGCCCTCTCCTGCTCATCATCACTCCTCCTCTCAGTGTCCAACCTCCGATCCTCCTTGTCCGCCATCCCCTCCTATTCAAACGCCCTCTCCTTCTGCTCCTTACCCTCCCCCTCTTCCTCCTCCTCCTCCTCCTCCTCCTCCTCCTCCTCCTCATCCTCATCCTCATCCTCATCATCATCATCATCATCATCATCATCATGTTCTAGATCCTCACCATCATCCTCATCCTCATCACCGTCACCAGCACCATCATGAGCATCATCATCATCCCGACCAAAAAAATGTGAAACAAAAACGCCGTAGTGGGTTGTTCTGCTCGCCAACTCTCGCGAGTGATGGCATCTACCCGCCCCTTCTCGGCAGCAAATAGGCGAGGCGACGACGCAAAAGGGAGAATGCTTGATTCCGCGTGGACACGCATGTAAACAGCATATCAATGGACAGACCCCGCGGAACAACAAACAGCACCGTCCCACTTTCGTGAAATTCGTGGCTTCTCTGCCCCCCCCTCCCCGCTCGGTCTCGTCCACCTTTACCTCCTCCTCCTCCTCCACCTCCTCCTGGTCGTCTTCCTTCTCCTGCCGGTCAGTAGCGTAGCCATCTTGCTTCCAGGTGCAATTTCTCAGGGAATGAAGCGGATGCCGCACGTCCGCGGCAAGCTGTCAGCTACCTTCGGGCGCGGAAAGTGCCTCATTCATTACTCTTTGCATTGTTCCTTGTGTAGGTAGTGTGCTTGCCTCGCGGTATCCTATAGTGCGAGACATGGTTCTGGAAGGAACTGGCGCTGCAGCCGGTGCGTTGACAAATGGCCGTGGGATAGTTTGGTCAATCGCTCTCACAGGACGAGGTGCTTCAATTGAGGGGTGGCCAAGGGCAACGCTTACGCAGGTGCCCTTTCCACGACGACGTCGCCAAGTGCGTCTCAGCGGGCTGCGCCCTGGCATGAGGAGCGATCTGATGTGATGAAGTAGCGCGACCTGCTGGAGAAGAGGCTCACGGAGGCAGATGCGAAGTTGCAGCTTGTGCAGGCCGACAGCAACAATGATTGCATGGTCGTGGACGCGTCAAGTGGGGAGGCCAGAGTCAAAGATCCCAAGCTAGAGATTCAGAGGCTTACGAAGCTCATCGAGTCGACCAGTGGAGTGGATGATGCATCCACCAAAGCCAGGCGCGAAGAAGCTTACAAAGAAAAGGGAACCTGCAGGAGCGAAGACTTGGAACAGAGGCCGCTACAGGTACAGCGACCCTAACTGATCAGAAGATCGAGGGGGTGCAGCACATTAACTTGCGTTTGCACCAGAAGGAGACCAGCTTCAAAGAGAAGACTGCCGAATATGAGCAGTAGGGGGAAGAGGCTCGGGAGCAGCGCGTCGCGAAGGAGGCGGAACACGTAGAGTTGAAGCAGCAGAAGGCCCGCTCTTTGGGTGCTGCTCTGCTACCTCTTGGCGCCGTATGATAGAAGGGAAAGGGAGGCGTACGCTGTCCCTGTCAAGCCTCATCGAGAACACGGAGCTCACGGTGGAAGCATTGGGTGAGATACTAAATGGGGCTGGGGTTCGGCTGCTGAGACGAATGCGGTTGTGGCCAACTACAAGAACAAAAGATACAAACCAACTGCAGCAAAGGCTGAAGCTGCAGCCGAAGCCAACGCAAAGCGTGAAGCCGACGAGCGCGCTGCAAAGCCGAACGCTGAGGCTGCGGCAGCCGAAAGTGCAGACGACGACGACCTCTTCTCGAAGGAAGCTTTCGATGCCAACTCGTGGAGGCCAGTCTTCGCCACGAGTTGCCCTGACTTGGGTGAGTCTACTGCCGTGCCTGACGGTGACATAGAACTCAGAGAGCTGGCAAAGAGAATGTGGGCCAGCCTCGGCAATATTTTGAACCAGTTGCCAGGTGGTGACGGCGATGGTCAGCGCTGCGTGCACGGCGAAGTGTTTGCTGTCGTCATGCAGAAGAAAAAGATCACACGATAATGCGCTGGGCGTCGCGGGCGTAACGGCGACGCACGTGTACTTGGTGGAATGCACAGTTATGGTGCTGCGCGTTCAAGAAACATCGTCACGTTGAGGCCAAGCAAGTGAAAGTGCAGCGCGAGACGGCAAGGATATGATGGTACGAACTGTGGGCGCCACCCCTACCTGGCAGTGGCCTGGGGTCCTCTGGCGGCGAAGCAGTGTTTGCACTAAGCGACGTGGAAGTGACAAAGCCGATGTTGGGCGACTTCTTGATTGAAAAAGGGCGCGCGGCGGCTGCCCATGTACGCAGAGGTGTGCCGGGTGGGCCCTGTCAAGAGCGATCTGCCTTGAACATTATGAGCAACTTTCGGGGGCGAGCCTGGGAACTGCGCAAGGTGGCGGAGTATGCGTGCGAGGCCGAGGATAGAGGCACCCCGTGGATGGTGATGGGAGGCGTCGGCATGTCGAGAGCTAAGCGATGCGTGGGCGGCCTGCCTCTCTTTCTCGGAGTTGCCAACGGACCGCCGATCCCGGCGCGTCTATATCTGCGGCGACACGGTCAAGGTCGCTGACCAGGACTTCCCCCGACCGCCACTAGATCTCGATTCAGTTGAAAGCGGCTGCGGAGGAGCTGCGGCGCTACAAGCTGAGAGAGACAAGGCGTCTGCACGAGAAGCTTAAACCTGAGGGCGCTAGGCCTACGAGTGGTTGGGAGCAGCTATCTGAAGAACTGAAGGTGGTGAAGGCGGTGTGTGAACTGACGCAGAAGTGGGGCAACATGATGTGCGCGTTGATGGATAAGGTATTAGGCCTTCACGACATTGCTGGGGCCAAGAAATCGATGTGCGCAATTCGCCCGGGGGTCACAAACGAGGATTAAGAAACTGGAGTTGCCGAAGATCGAAACCCGCTTTGGCCACGGCACGCAGGGAGATGTGGCGAAGCAGAGATGTGCGAAATTGGCGGGGCACCTTAGATCCATGCGTGCCCATGTGGTGCTTGCGCTGAGCAAGGATGCTGGGGTGAATCGACAAAGTGGGCAGCTGGTTAGTGGAATACGCGAGTCTGGTTGATGCACTTGCGACGGTGCGCTCGACGTGGAAGGATTTGCCTCGGGAGGTCCATGAATTGCTCCAGTGCGGATACAGGATGATTGCGATGCCTAGTTTTGAGGATGCGGTGGGCAAGACGCCGGGCAAGGCGACGGCAGAGGACCTCAAACAGCAGACGCGTGCCCGTAAAGATTGGACGAGTTGGCTGCGCAAAGCAATCAGCGGCGGGGCGAGTGCAGCCCTTCCGCATTCCAAAGCGACGGAGGACCATGAGCTGGCTGGCGCGGGCGATGGTGCACAGCCACATGTGAGAGTGGACTTTTGTCTACTGGAGTGGCTGGATATTTGAAGGTCATGGCGAGTATGTTCTGAAGAAGCCGACCGGCTTCAAGGATTGGGCAGACATCCCGAAGCTGACCGAGGACGACTAATGGAGGGCACCGCGCGCATCCCACAGAATTCCAGGATCTGCCGAGGGTTGTTCGGCAAGTGCGAAGGGCTGGGGGCATGGCCAACCAACCGCCTGGTCTGAAGACTGTGCGCCTTGATCAACCTGACGGAGGTCCTGGGCTGACAGCGCGGCTCCACGCCACGTCCAGGTTGCGGGGTCGAGCACGAAGGGGCGTCTCTGCCAAGCGGGACAGAATAGTCAAGAATAGCATATTCTGGGGGAGCGGCGGCGGCCGAACGTCTGCCGACAGCGACTTCGAGGTCAATGTCACGTTGGCAATTGCGAGAATGACGGGGCATCGCCCCATCATGGCAGATGCCAGCATGGCCAAATGCTATGAGACGGTGCCGCAAGGAGCGTCGCTGGGTGAGGCCCGTGAAGTAAGATCCCCGTTGCGACTGGCATTGCGTCTGAGTGCGCAGTATCCCCAGCCGCGCTACATTCGGGCATGCAGAAAACACCCAGGGATCCCGATGTTTCAAGGTGTGATGGCGGGCTGTCGCCATGCAACGACGCTGCTGAGTGCGATGCAGCACGGCGGCCAAAAAGGACGCGCGGAGGATTTGCAGATCGTGAGCCGCGAGGGAGAAATGATGGACGACTCGTCGTGCCAATGGGTTGGGAAAGCTCTGGCTCGAGCAGGGGGGGGGGGGGGCGCGCGCGGCGGTCTACCTGTGCCCCCAGGGCGAACCAGCTGGGCATGTTCCCGCAAGCCAGGAATTCTAACTTCGTGGCACTATCGGCGGAAGTGCAGGAGGCGCTGGAGAAGAACTTCAAGCGCCTGAAACTGAAAACCAAACCACATGCGGGGAACTTGGACCACGAGTCGCTCGGGGGCAAGGCATAGAGGGCCATGGGGAAGCGACGCCTACGAGGAGCGGTTGATCGGGCGCCCTGGCTGGAGGCGCTGAGGCAGGGCATCGGCGCCAAGGCTACGCTCTCGTGGCGTGCTGGGGGCGCGCGCATCAGCTGGGCACGGCGGCAGTGTTGCGGGGATCTCAGATTCGACGCTCACTGGGCTGAGGAGTGGAGGAGTCAGGCAGGCATAGTGGCGGGAATCCCCCAGGAAAGGAGATCGCACACATGCGATCGGGCGACGCATAAGCAGGACTTCATGGCCCCCTACGCACGGCGCGGCGGCGGACCTTGCGGAAAGATATCCAGCCTGGAAGTGGGAAGGCAGACTACCAAGTGCTCAGCTGCGGCATGCTTCTCTGCGGTGAAGGAGAGGTTAAGCGAGAATCCGAGTCGGGCGAGACATACTGACTGGGCCGACCGCAGTGCTTATTTTCCCACAGGGAAGGACCGACTGGGAGCTGGTGAGCCCAGCGCAGTTCAAAGCCAGAGATTGGGAAGCGCTTTCGCTGCGAACGACACCACCGAAGGAGGTTCGAGAGTTGGTGATGGAAGGGGTGCGACACTGGCAGCGCATCAGCGTGATCGACCATGCCCCTGGAGCGACGGGCTCGGAGTTTGCGCGGAACGCGATGCGGAAAATGAAACCAGCGCTAGCAGCAGAGCAGCAGAGGGCAAGCCGGGCTCTTCGGTCAGGAGCGCCGATGGCCCCTGTAGTAAAATTCGAGCGCGGATGCCACGAGCATGCCGACTGCCCACGGCGCCAAGCTCAAGATGAGCCACGCGGCCACGCGTGACACGAGCGCGAGATTCCAGTCGACGACACGGGGTTTACTCGACTGAAAACACAACTTCAGCGTCGAAGGCTCTGGCAAGCTGCTCGCGATCGTGGATTGGGCGACGTGTGGTCGTGGATTGGGCGATATGAGCTGCAACTTCGAGTGTGTCTCGCTGATGCCAGCAAATCCGCAGATCCCAAAGCTGTTCGATAAACCCTAGTCGTTCTCGCGGGGCTTGGAAAACCTGACGACGGCGAGATGGGGAACGAGAGCGAGAGTGGGCAGGGCCCCGGCGACATGGGCTTCCACCCACCACGCCTCATATGGGACAGGTGGAGCAGGACTTCGACGACATGAGGGCCGATCTGTTCACCTGGGCGGAGATGTGGTGGTGCCTCCGCTGGGCGCCCGATGGTTGCCGCGGCGCGCGCGTTCGCTGGGGGGCAGAATGTGGCACTCGACAGCAACCTGTCTCCAGGTTGTGCTCAGGTCGGGATCTGCGGGAAATCAACCAAGAGCTTTGCGAATGAGCTTGGAGGCGGCCTGAGGTGAGAAGGAGCAGCTTGGCTGGCCCACCAGGGTCAGGGCGGTGAGACCTGGAGGTGCGACGCTACAGTGAGCCGGCAAACCTTCGCGCGATGTTTCAATCGCTGCTGGGCGATCATGCCCCCGTCCAACAGCCCCGCCCTCGACGGTCAGAGCAAATCAAGAAGGGCATCACAGGAGAAGCCCACGTAGGGGGGAACACCCGAGGGGCTGGCGAGCCGAACAGGGGCTACCCGAGCGGATGCTCAGCAGATCCGCGGCGCGTCGGAGGAAAGGCAGCATCGTCTGGCCAGGCGCCCATATTCGGGCGACGGAAAGTGACCACAACTACTGTTGCAAGTCTTTGTCCCGCGCCTGTGTTCGGGGCAGCTGGCGCGGTCGAGCAGAAAAAGAGATGCGCGCGCGCAGACGCTGCCGAGGAACCTTGAGCGTCCTGGGATGAGGGTTTCACGCGTGGTTATCCTGGCGCCGAGAGCCCATCCCCCTTGCCCCGCGCCGCCCGCCGCCCGGGGAACGGCCCTGTCCGGATCTCAGACGTCGACAGAACGAGCCCGCCCATCGGTGGTCACCGGAACACGCGAACGCACTGGAAGTATCGAATGACTACTGATCGCGGACGTAAATGGTCACTCGCAATTCGTCGGCACTGTCGCCAACATACATGCCTAATGACTGGGGGGACTTAGCCGGAGAAGGCTCTGTCGGGGTCCTGACTCGCGGGCCGCACCTTAGCCCGGGGGGGCCAAGCCTGGGGTGTCTGGGCCTCCCGGAGAGAAGGGGGTCTTGGAAATGCATTCCTCTGCCATCGATCACCGGCGGCGCCAAGGCAAGCGACCTTCCTGGCCGCGCGGACTGGATCAACGATGGTTGCCGCGTTTCTTTTCCAGGGCAACACTGAAATCCACTTCAGTGGTCGATTCATCTCGCCTGACATACGACGTCGTGGGATGGATTGCAAGCTGAAGCGGCTAAGGACGATCGCGTCAGACCCCCTGTCGATCGCTAGCGAGGCCCCTCCGACGGCGGTGAGCGCGAGGCCGCCAAGCGTTGGGGACAACCGCACTATTGCCCCAGTCGCCCTTGGGCTCTCGAAGGTACCTATGTGGAGTACTGGGCCAGGCGTTGTGGGCACCCACATCATTGCCCAACGTGGAAAGGGGCCACGACGAGGGCCCATCGAAAGCTAAGGCGCGACCTGCGAGGGGGAGAAATGGGGGAGCCGAGTCTACACGGATGGCGCTGCTGCCCACCCAGGTTTCCCCGAGCGCAGACGAAGTGGATGGGCCGGGAGTTGGACATGTCAGGATGGTCATGTCGCGCAAGGTACGGAGGAGCACCAGGTCGCAACCAGTGGGTCCCATATGCCGATAAATACGCAGCCACGCAAACGCTGAGGGTTGCCGCAGGGCCAGCGGTCGCGGTGACAGACCACCTGTTGTTAGTGAACGAGGCCAATAGGATCTGGAAACACAGCGCAAAGGGCCAAAGCAAAGCATGCTGGTCTATGGAGGAAGATGGGTTACCCGTGAGGAGCCGAAGCCCGCCTTTCTCTGGCAAGGGCTTCATCCCATGTGCGACCACACGGTGGAAAGAGGTTATGACTTGGGCGGCTGGATTGGCAGTCGATGGGCAGCTCTTTACGGGACTTGGCCAAGATGATGTCACGATTGCTGACGGTTTCGTGCGCGACTGCCAGATCCAGTTCCAGAGTGCGGTCGATGCGGTGGCAATGTTGGGACATATTGCTCAAAGACGTGCGGGGTGGGCCCAGGAGCTAGAGAGTGACAGGGATACAAGCAGCTGAACTAGAACACAGTGCGTTTCGGCACGATCCCGGCCCCCAATCGCCGAGATGCTGGAGGTGACAAAACTGCAATGCAGTCGCGCGGACAGATCGGACTGCTTCGTTTGAGGTCGCCCCGATCTTGTGCTCGTCAATGTGCAGCCATCGGAGGTGAAGGATGATAGATAGCCGTCTGTACTCGGTACGATCGGCCAGTTTCGCTAATCTGGACACGCGCCACTGATGCTCGGGCCGATCACGCTTGGCAGCAAGCGTGCTAAGTGTTGTATCAGGAATGGTAGAGGTCGCCGCCTCAAGGAGGAGTGCGCGGGCCAGTCTGCAGATGCCAGAGTGAGAGCGGCAATCCATTTGGCCATGGACAAAGCGGCACCCTAAGATAGGAGTCTACCCAGGTGTCACTGACGCGGTGATGGAGTAGGTCACGTTCTGTACTTCCGGCATGGCCCCGCCCCTCGGGGTGCCGGAGCCTTGTCTGTGTCGGGCCCCCGCTTGCGGTGTGACACCTCCGCGTGCGGTACCTCCACGCTGCTGTGGAAGGCCCCGCTCCTCGGGGTGCCAGCTCTTGGTGTGGTCTTGCTTTCGGTGTAGTCGTGGCAGGCTGAGGCTAGCCACGGTAGCGGCCGCGCGCAGCGGCGATCGCCTCCTGGAGGCCCTGTGTGGCCCGTCAGGAGGCCCCAGTGCATCGAGCGGGATTACTTCCAGCAGACCTCCCCTCGGTGGTACGCTCGCTCTCCTTCTCCTCCCGGTCCTTCTCATCCTCGTCGAGAGGGCGCGGGCGCCAGCATCTGGTGGGAGAATAGCTGGAACAAGCGTCGTCGGCTAGAATGCCTACCCTCGCCATGTCTGGCATCGTGGAATATGCCCCTTCCTGTCGAATCCTGCTTCTCCTCCTCCTTTTCCTGGTCCTCCCCCTGGCCCTCCTCTCTCGCGGGACGTCAGCTGAGCACTCCACCGATCCTGGCCAGGCCGATCCTGACCCCAGAATCGGTCCTGTCCTGGCTGGGGGCATCCGCACCGATCCTGCGCCCAAGATCTGCCTGGCTGGGACCGGTGCGGTGGTCGGCTAACGTCCCCCGATCACCTCCCCACGCATTGGGCGTTGCTTACTGGGGTGGCGGTAACTGGGGGAAGAGAAACCTACACCTTTCCTGTCTCTGTTTGGCCCCAGGCGGTCAGTGTAAGGGCCTTTTTAGGGCACGCGCGGCGCACATTTCTTCACCCCCCATTTTTGATCGCCTTCCTACTAAGCAAAGCCCAACACGCGATCTGCATCGACGGCGCCGGGCCCGCCTGGTCGAAATTTAAACCCACGAGGTGCCGGACGTCTCCGTCGTAGCCCTCTCCCTCGGGCGGCGGCTCGCTGAGGATTCCTGGCCGGCCCTGCCTGTCGTTGCTGCTGCCACACAAAGGGAACTTCTGCAATTCATCACGAAAGCCCTTCTTTAAACCATCACAACAGGAATCCTTCCTAACCTGCCACATAAGGAATCCTTTTGTAATCCCCTACAAGAGGGATTCTTGTGTAAGCCGCCACAAGCATGATCCTTCGGTCATCCACCACAAATTAAATCCTTTTACAACCCGCCGCAATAAGAACGCCTTTAGTGTGTCGCCTCGAAACGGAGTCCTTTGCAATCCTGAGGCGAGAGATTGATAGAGAGAGAGAAAGAAAACACGACATACAGAAATATAGACAGAGAAAGAGATTCAACAAAACAGAAACAACAACAAACAAGAGAACATGTATCCCTATGTTTCATCACTCCGCCTTCGGAGGCGGTTATGCTTTACAGGCAAATTGAATGTATATTCTCATGTGTCAATATGGTGTCCGTGGTCTCTTCCTGGGGCGTGGGACGGGCGCCGCAAGAACGAAAGGGCAGACAGCCATGAACATCAACATATGGTAAAAAGTTGCCCTGTACACGACAAAACAAATAAAAGACTTCAATCTCCCAGGGAGGAGAAGGAGCATTTGGAAAACACCAATTATTCACTGCGTGGAGCTCCCCATATGTGCATCTATTCGAATGGACCTGTCCGCCGTGAACGTCTCGGCGCACGAGCTTTCGAATATGAACGAGCTTCAGTTGTGACGGTCTGGACATGGATCTAACTGCGGATGGATTGGAGTGTGAGTGAGCCTCAGTAGTACGAGCGCGTCTCTGCGCATGAGCCTGGGGCCTCCTGGGGCCTCCTGAAACCTATTGGGGCTTCCTGGGGTCTCCAGGAGCCTCTTGGGGCCTGCTGGGACCTCCTAGGGAGGTTTCGTGCTCCAGAAGAGGCCCAATACATAGCAACATACGTACATAACACATTACGGCTTAGAGCCACAGGAGAAGGGCACTCTATAGGAGCACACGTAAAACACCAAGGACTCGTGTCCCAGGAGAGGCCCAATCTATAGGAACATATGTAAATCATGTAGGATTGTGCACACAGGAGAAGGACAGTATATAGAAGCATACGTATAACATCAAAGAATCGTGCTCCAGGTGAGGCCCAATCGATGGGAGCATACGTAAAACACATGGGATTGGAGCCACTCCTGTTGCCTTCTGAAGCCTCCCGATCCTGGGACCTCTCGGGGCCTCCTGATGCCTTCCGATGCCTCCTGGCGCTTCCTGTGGCCTCCTGAAGCCTCCTGTGGCTTCCTGAAGCCTTCTGGAGCTTCCTGTGGCCTCTTGGAGCATCCTGTGGCCTCTTGAGTCTTTATGTGGCTTCCTGATGCCTTCTGGGACCTCATGTGGTCTCATGGAGCCTCCTGGAGCCTGTTGGAGCCTCTTGTTGCCTCCTGAGAAGATTCTGCGCTCATGGGTCTGGCCACCAAAACAGCAAACCGATCGAGACATCCTGAAAATCTGGCCCACCTGGGAGGTGAAAATGAGCGCATCGCTCGAGACATCATCCAAATCTGCTCCGACAGCGAAGGTTGCTGGGACAGAAACCAAACAAACCGCTTGAGACATTCCCACAAAACGGCCGCGAACGGGACCGTGCAATACCACTCGGCGGCTCCCCTCAGGGACGTGAAACTGAGCGCCTCGCCCGAGACATCCTCCAAATATGTTCCGACAGCGAAAGAAGTTGGGACAGAAAACAAACAAACCGCTTGAGACATCCCCACAAAACGGCCGCGAACGGGACCGTGCAATAACCCTCGGCTGATCCTCTTAGAGACGTGAAAATGAGCGCCTCGCTCGAGAGATCCTCCAAATCTGCTCCGAAAACGAAGGATGTTGGGACAGAAACAAAGCAAACCGCTTTAGACATCCCCACACAACGGCCGCGAACGGGACCGTGCAGTACCCCTCGGCGGCTCCCCTTAGGGACGTGAAAATGAGCGCCTCGCTCAAGACATCCTCCAAATCTGCTCCGACAGCGAAGGATGTTGGGACAGAAAACAAGCAAACCGCTTAAAACATTCCCGCAAAACGGCCGTGAACGGGACCGTTCAATACCCCTCGGCGGCTCCCCTTGAGGACATGAAAATGAGCGCCTCGCTCGAGACATCTTCCACATCTGCTCCGAAAACGAAGGATGTTGGGACAGAAAACAATCAAACCGCTTGAGACATCCCCGCCAAACGGCCGCGAACGGGACCGTGCAATACCCCTCGGAGGCTCCCTTTAGGGACTTGAAAATGAGCGCCTCGCTCAAGACATCCTCCAAATCTGCTCCGAACGCGAAGGATGTTGGGACAGAAAACAAGCAAACCGCTTGAGGCATCCCCACAAAACGGCCGCGAACGGGGCGTGCGTGAGTCTCAGCATGAGCAAGTCTGAGTAGGAGTAGGTCTGAGTATGAGTAGGTCTGAGGAGAGTTCATCCTAACGGTGAAATCAGACACCACGCAAAAACACCACGCAAATACACCACGCAAAAACACCACGCAAAAACACCACGTAAACGCTGGAGGGTGAATTAGACATCACGCAAATACACCACGCAAAAACACCACGCAAAAACACCACGTAGCGGTTTTGCGTGGTGTTTTTGCGTGATGTTTTTGCGTGGTGTTTTTGCGTGGTGTTTTTTGGCACCGCTGTGGCGGCGCCGGAGCGCCGTGGGACAGGTCGCGGTTCACGTGGTGTGTTTTTGCGTGGTGTTTTTGCGTGGTGTATTTGCGTGGTGTATTTGCGCGCCGCTGGGGCGGCGCGGGGACGCAGTGGGGAAGGTCGCGGCTCACGCGGCGTGTTTTTTCGCGTGGTGTTTTTGCGTGGTGTTTTTGCGTGGTGTATTTGCGTGGTGTTTTTGCGCACCGCTGTGGCGGCGCCGGAGCGCCGTGGGACAGGTCGCGGTTCACGTGGTGCTTTTTGTTTTGCTATGCGTGGTGTTTTTGCGTGGTGTTTTTGCGCGGTGTATTTGCGTGGTGTTTTTGTGCGCCGCTGGGGCGGCGCGGGGACGCAGTGGGGAAGGTCGCGGTTCACGTGGTGCTTTTGCGTGGTGTTTTTGCGTGGTGTTTTTTTGCACCGCTGTGGCGGCGCCGGAGCGCCGTGGGACAGGTCGCGGTTCACGTGGTGTGTTTTTGCGTGGTGTTTTTGCGTGGTGTATTTGCGTGGTGCATTTGTGCGCCGCTGGGGCGGCGCGGGGACGCAGTGGGGCAGGTCGCGGTTCACGCGGCGTGTTTTTCTGCGTGGTGTTTTTGCGTGGTGTTTTTGCGTGGTGTATTTGCGTGGTGTTTTTGCGTGGTGTTTTTGCGCACCGCTGTGGCGGCGCCGGAGCGCCGTGGGACAGGTCGCGGTTCACGTGGTGCTTTTTGTTTTGCTATGCGTGGTGTTTTTGCGTGGTGTTTTTGCGCGGTGTATTTGCGTGGTGTTTTTGTGCGCCGGTGGGGCGGCGCGGGGACGCAGTGGGGAAGGTCGCGGTTCACGTGGTGCTTTTGCGTGGTGTTTTTGCGTGGTGTTTTTTTGCACCGCTGTGGCGGCGCCGGAGCGCCGTGGGACAGGTCGCGGTTCACGTGGTGTGTTTTTGCGTGGTGTTTTTGCGTGGTGTATTTGCGTGGTGTATTTGTGCGCCGCTGGGGCGGCGCGGGGACGCAGTGGGGCAGGTCGCGGTTCACGCGGCCTGTTTTTCTGCGTGGTGTTTTTGCGTGGTGTTTTCGCGTGGTGTATTTGCGTGGTGTTTTTGCGCACCGCTGTGGCGGCGCCGGAGCGCCGTGGGACAGGTCGCGGTTCACGTGGTGCTTTTCGTTTCGCTATGCGTGGTGTTTTTGCGTGGTGTTTCTGCGCGGTGTATTTGCGTGGTGTTTTTGCGCGCCGCTGGGGCGGCGCGGGGGCGCAGTGGGGAAGGTCGCGGTTCACGTGGTGCTTTTGCGTGGTGTTTTTGCGTGGTGTTTTTTTGCACCGCTGTGGCGGCGCCGGAGCGCCGTGGGACAGGTCGCGGTTCACGTGGTGTTTTCGCGTGGTGTTTTTGCGTGGTGTATTTGCGCGGTGCATTTGCGCGCCGCTGTGGCGGCGCGGGGACGCAGTGGGGCAGGTCGCGGTTCACGTGGTGTTTTTTTTCTGCCACGCGTGGAGCGGCGCCAGGGCGCCCAGGGGCGCAGCTGGAGCGCCGCTGCAGTGCCGCTGCAACGCCCCTGGAGCGCAGTGGGGCAGGTCGCGGTTCACGTGGTGTTTTATACGTCGTCCTCCATGTCCTCCTCCTCACACATTTCCTCCTCCTCCTTCTCCTTTTCCTCCTCCTCCTCCTCCTCCTCCTCCTCCTCCTTCTCCTTTCAAAGATAGCGGCTGCACCCCTTCTGTGCTCCTGCGCTTCCCTGGCCACCTCAACCTGACCGGGCATCGTTTTTGGATGGGCCAGTGGCGCAGAGCGTCAAGAATCCAGCTCCCACGTCACAGCCGCCGTCATCGTCGCCGCCACTGCTGCCGACGCTGTCGCCGCGGCCGTCGTCGCACGGCCCTGGCAGGGCGGCCGAAGGCGGACGAGGGACCGAGCGAATACACCACGTAAACCGCGACCCGCCCCACGGCGCTCCCGCGCCGCGCCAGCGGCGCACGCACACGCAAATACACCACGCAAATACACCACGCAAAAACACCACGCAAATACACCACGCAAAAACACCACGGCTATTTCACCGTTAAGAAATTCTATTTCACCATTAAGAAATTCTATTTCACCATTAAGAAATTCTATTTCACCATTAAGATTTCCATTTCACCATTAAAACTCTTATTTCACCATTAGGAGAAACCGTCAGGTCTGAGTATGAGTAATTTTGTGCGTGAGCAATTCTGGGAATGAGTAGGTCAGAGTGTGAGCCAGTCTGTGTATGAGTAAGTTTGGGTATGAGGAGGAGAGGGGAGGAGAAGGAGAAGAAGGAGGAGAAGTCTGCGGCGCCCCAGGAATAACAAGAACCCCATCTTAGGATATGGGGGATAAAAACGAGGAGGCGAGGGGAGGAGGAGGAGGAGGAGGAGGAGGAAGAGGAGGAAGAGGACCATGCGAGAGAGAGAGAGAGGAATTGGAATCCTTTGTGATCTGGACGGGAGGAGACAGTGTTTCATCTCGCCGCACTTGGAGGCGGAGTTGTTTTCCTATGTGTTCCTGTGCAGGGCAAGTTTTTAAACTTTGACATATTGTTCCAGGGACCGGGCGCCGCAGACGGGGGGCGTATAGGAACGCTTGCGCTGGAACTGTAGGTGGACCTCACTGTGAATCACGATCCGTGTGATGGGTGGGCTGACATGATCGGGGGGGGCGCATGCGAACCCTGTCTCTGGTGCCGTATGTGGAGACCCCCCGTGGGGCACAATGAATTTGAGGTCTGCGACGGAACTGGCGGGAGAACACTGGGGCCGCAGGTGGAACTCCCTATGGGGAGCGATCTGTGTGAGAGGTATGTGGCGAAGAAGGCGGGGGTATACATTCGAACCCTGCCACGGGGCCGTAAATGGAGCTCCCTATTGCGGCACTATCCGGCTATCCGTGTGAGAGGGGTAGGCCAAAATAAGCGGGGGAACTCATGCAAACCCTGCCGTTGAGGCCGTAGGTGGAGCTCCCTATGGGGCACTGTCCACAACAAGGGAGCGACGACATGGTCATGCGGCAGGGACGGTTAAGAGGGCGACAATGAGGAGTGGATGCGCCCGGCGATGCCGATTCCCAACGAGGACCCAGCAGCACATGACCCATCAACGACTTACCATCTACGAGCTACAAACTAGGTGGAATACCAGTGCAGATTACCTGCAGGCTACAATACAAGAAGTCAGCTCCGACAGCCGAGACCATTTGGCGAATACCATGCGCTCCTCAAGCTGTTGTTCCCGCGCCGCACTCGCAGCCCATCGTCATGCTCCATGTCCTCCTCTTCGTCCTCCCTCTCCTCTCGAGAGACTTGTTTGGGGGGTCCTTCTGGCCGCAGCTTGCCGCCGAGGTAGTCCTGCGAGAAATCGAGCACCGCCTGCTTCGTGATGTTGCCCCTGACCATTGCGGAAACAGCAAAGAGAGGCGAGGCTGCCAGGACACTGGCTGCCTCCGACGCATATGCTGTCAGAGGCGGCACGCGTCCTGCTGAGCCATGGGAAGCAAGCCGGAAGAAGGCTGAGCGAGGCCGGGCGGGGCGAGCGCGCGATGCCGGTCCAGCGGGACCGGCCCTGCGAGGGCGGCGCGCGAGGGCCGGGAGACCTCAGGAGAGGCGTGGTGAGCAGGATCCGGGGTCTGAAGCGTGGGGTCGGAAGCAGGAGGCGAGGAGTTTGCCCGCCGGCAGGGAGGAGACGTGGAGGTCGGCGGAAGTGAAGGTGGGAAAGGAAGAGGAGGAGTTCGAGCGCACCTGACAAGATTCACCCGCAGAGGCTCAGGCCAGGGCAGCCGCCGCTCGACGCTGCGTTTGACGCCACGGAGGGCGCGCCGGCACAGCGGCGTGGCGCCAGGGACCGAAATGCCACAATTGCAGAAAGCGCATGGATGCGCACTCCGCTCAGTCGACATCCCGACATGCTGGTTCGCCACCATGCCATCGTACTCCGCCCGAGTAATGTCTGGCTCAGACACTTGGCCGCCCCGACTCACCGACCATCGCTTCCATCAACTGGCTGCGACGCTCTCCGACGCAGTCTACTGCCAATGCGCCGGGCGGTGTCATCGAATTTGTCATGGCCGATCCGCCGAACTCCCTGCCTGTCCCTCCGAAGACGGAATGGAGCCGAGCCGCAGTGGTGCGCACACACACACACACACACACACACACACACACGCACACACACACACACACACACACGCACACACACACACACGCGCTCATTCACACACACACTCACACACATTCACACGCATACACACAAGCGCACACACACAATCACAAACAAACACACACACACTTTCTTTGCGTCGGGAGCTGGGCAGAGGGCGAATGCTCTGGCTGGTTGGCAACGAGGGACACGCTGTATGCAAATTAACGCCTCAATGCACGGAAGGAGAAGGAGGACCCCCGGCGCGACTGGAAGAGAAGAGGCCGGGCCACTCCGAGCTGCCGGCTGCGGCGGGGGGAGCGCCGAGGGGGGGGGGGAACAGCGCCAGCACAGAGTTGCAATGAGCTGACGCTGGGGGGAATCAGCATTGAGCTGCAGCTGGTGATGGAGAAACACAACGTAGAAGATCCCGACCCAGTGAACCAAAGCATGGTCCAGGGAAGGGCCAGTGCGCCGAGACCTGCGGGCCTACGAGGCGCGTGCGGGGAGGTGGATGGCAGACAGGCCCGATAAGAGCTGCCGACTGCGGCGGGGGGGAGCGCCAAGGGAGGGGAGGGTTCCAGCGCCAGCACTGAGCTGCAGTGGGCTGAACAGAACTGAAGCAGACACACACACACACACACACAGACACACACACACACACACACACACACGCACACCACACACACACACACACGCACACACACATACACATACTTACACTTGTCGACCTCATCATCTGCGAAGCGGACCCCGACAACAAATCCTCACGCCCCTGGGTGGGGAAGGCCATCGGGCTCCTATCGGCGATGGGTAGGCGCGATTGGGAGTCGGTGCGTCCCCCCCGAGAGCCTACGGATGCCCCCTACCTGATCCCCTTGGCTTTCGGGTCATAAGTCAACTCTCTGGCGGCCGCTCGTGGCGATCCGGGCACCCCCGGGGCGCCCTCTGCGGGGCGCAGCAGCAAGAAGGCACCCCGAGGCTGAACAACCACAGATAAATAACGAAGACATCCGAACATCTCGGGCCCCTCCCCGAACGGCCGCCAACCTCCCCGGTCCTAACGCTGCCCCTGACCCATCCGATACGCCTCCCCCCCGCGCCCTAATCAGAACTAGATCATCCCTCCCTGCCCCATCCTTACACCCCTCCCCCTCCCCTCCCCCCAAATGCCCGTCCCATCAGAAATATGTCGAACCCCTCACCCCCTGGGGGAACCCCAAAGTACCGATACCGCTACTCCCCGGATCTCTCCCAGAGCGCGTTCTGACCAGGACTTCGGGGCGAATCCAGCGGTGGAGATGAGGGCTCGCCAGGAGGCCCTACAGTTGGAAAACGAGGGAAGGGTAGCGGTAGCAGTACCTTTCCCTCCTCCGACCCTCCCCCTCCCAGCCCTAACGTGTTGCCCCTGGCCCATCCGCCGCTGGCACCCGCGCCCAAGAAGCGGCAGAAAGCCGCCGCGAGGAGTCTGGGCGGCCGTAGGCCGCGCTTGCCGTGGGACGCCGGCATCGGCCAGAGCAGCTCTGCCCTGCGGGGGCAGGCGAGCGACCGGAGCCCGCAGGCCGATCTGCGAAACAGCGTGTTCTGCCTTTTCTGGCAGCATCGGGGGGTGCCACTGGGGTTCCAAACCGGGCCCGTCCCCCCCCCCCTCGAAAACCGGGGGGGGCACTGGGGGTTCCAAACCCCCCAGTCCATCATGACAAGGGGGGGGTCACTACCTGTTCGAAACCCGCCCACTCTCCCCGCCGCCGGCAAACGACTGGGTGGGGGACTGTGGTGGGGACAGTGGTTGGGACGGTGGTGGGGATGGTGGTGGGGAGTGGGGACAATGGGGAGAGTGGGACCGTGGTGGGGACAGTGGTAGGGATCGTGGAAACAGTGCGATGGTGGTGGGGGCACTGGTGGGGACAGTGGTGGGAACAGTGGGGATAGTGGGACAGTGGTGGTGACAGTGGGGACAGTGCGACAGTGGTGGGGACGGTGGTGGTGGGGACAGAGGCGAGGTGACAGTGGGACAGTGGTGGGGACAGTGGGCACAGTGGGGACAGTGAGACTGTAGTGGGGACGGTGGTGGTGGGGACAGTGGTGAGGCGACAGTGGGACAGCGGTGGGGACAGTGGGGACAGTGGTGGGGACGGTGTTGGTGGGGACAGTGGTGAGGGCCTTGGTGAGGACGGTGGTGGGACAATGGGACAATGGTGCAGTGGGGACAATGGTGGGGACAGTGGGACCGTAGTGGGGACAGTGAGGACAGTGCGACAGTGGTGGGAGTGGGGACAGTGGTGGGAACAGTTCAGTTGGGACAATGGGACAGTGGCGGGGACAGTGGGACAGTGGTGGGGACAATGGTGAGGGCGGTGGTGAGAACGGTGGAACGGTGGTGGGGACCCAGGAGCCGTTTGCTGGCGGCGAGTGGGGGGGGGTTCGAACTGGTAGTGACCCCCCCTGATTTTCTGGAGGGGGGGTTCGAACCGGTAGTGACCCCCCCTTGTTTTCTGGAGGGGGTGGGTTTGTGGGGGGGGTGTCTTGCCGGGGGAAGGGGGAAGGGGGAGGGGTTCGAGCTGGGGGGGGGGTGATTGTCGGAGGGGGAAGGGGGGGACCCCCGGGTTCTGGAGGAAAAGGGGGGGGGAATGTTCCACAGCAAAGCGGTGGATCACGCTCTCTCCGATCTGGGGTCGGGTGCTTCCAGAAGTGTTCCTGGCCCAAGGTAACAGCGGATATGTCGCCCCTATTCCGAAAGAGCTCCATGAGAGCTCCTCAGGAAGTGAAAGAGAAAAATGTCACATGCGACGGCCTTTGTGTTCCTCCTCCTCCTCCTCCTCCTGCTGATCCTCCCCCTGCTCCTCGCCACCATGTCTTCCTCATACTTCTCATCCTCATCACTGCTCTCCCATGCTTTGGGGCACGGCGTGTCACACGCGACGGCCTCCCGTACCACTTCGATCTTAGCTGCCCCGGAACGCAACAAGCATCATGCAGCGAGATGACACGAAGCTCAAAATGTACAGCTTGAAACGTACGCTTGGCGCGAAACGTTCGCCAAAACGCGGGCCAACACGTTGAGTCAACCCGCAGCGTGTTAACACGGACAGTTTGAACACGGCACGTGCTGCGTTTCAAAACGGGCGTATCAGGGCAGCCAAGCATCATCCTCACCTCGGCTCTCCCGTGCTTTGGGGCGCGAAGTGACACACGAGACGGCCTTCCGTTATCCAGCCGCGTAGCCGCCACCCAGAACGCTGGGCGGGCACGGTGGCTGGACTCTTGTCGCAGGCGGCTGGTTTTACATGCCACCCCCCCCAGCCGCTCGGAGACGAGGCCCTCGTGGCTGCGCAGAACACCCACAACACACGAGGCATCTGGGGGGGGGAGGGAGAGGATCGGCGGCGTGCGGGGGGGAAGTGAGAAGGAGAAGGCCTTCCCAGAAGGCGGCGGGGCTTCTCACAACCCCTCGCGCCTTCTGGGAAGTTTTCTGTGTCTTCGGGGAAGGCTTAGAACACTTCTCAGAGGGCTGGGGGACTTCCGAGCCTTCTGAAAAGGCCCGCCCCTTCTCACTTCCACCCGAGCCCGTCGCCGACACACACACAACCACACACACACACACACACACACACACACACACACGCACGCACGCGCACGCACGCACGCACGCACGCACGCACGCACGCACACGCACACGCACAAGCACAAGCACAAGCACAAGCACAAGCCCAAGCACAAGCACACGCACAAGCAACACACACACACACACTGCAACACACACACACACACACAATTGTTGCCAGCACGCCTTCCCGACGGCCACGGTCCTCCCCTCCGCTGGGTTCCGCGAGCCTGAAGCGGAACGTGTGGAAGTCAGCATGGGGGTTGTCGGCGTGGAAGTCGAATGACAGCACGGCCAGCAGTGGCAGCTGCTCGCGCTGGAAGAGGCCCATCGTGTTCATCATCTTCAGCTCCGTTGCGGTCAAGTCCTTCCCACAATGCTGATGTAGATGACGGATTATGGCAGTGACGGAGATGACACATCCTGGCCATCGATCGGACGTCCATTCCCTGTGTTTTTTCGGTTTCGTGCGTGGCTTGTTCGCAGGGTGGTCCTGGATGCTCCTTAATAATCCTCGCCGAGAAAAAGTGCAAACGTCTGAGCGATGCCAAGCATGAGGCAATGATGACATCGCCATAGCGTGGGTCCTTTGTCCAAGCGGGCACCCTCGAGGAGAACAACGTACATGAAGCATGCCCTCATTCCGCATCCTACGCCTGACGGGAGGCGGATGCAGTGCACTGCTGCCGACCACGCTTCACATGCAAGGAGATGCTGAGATTGGACGCCAGGGAGGAAGCGTTACGCCTCATCTCAGGTGGCAGCGGTCCTCGCAGGCGGCAGCTACTTGCAAGACCACTGCAGGACCTAGAACTAGAAAAACAAAAGCCTCCCAAACATTTACGTTTGAAGGTCCGCGCGGATTTCTTGGATCCGTGCAAGACCCCCCTCCTTGGCGCGCGGGCGCGCGCCAGGGGCGGCGCCGGAGGCGCCTCCAGTGGGGCCCAGCGCAAATCACGGAAATCCGCCTGGAGCTCCAAAAGTTTATGTTTATGTAGTCGTGTTGTTTCCCGAGCTTACAAGACACCTGCAGGACCTCTAACAGTGCCTTGCTGCTGGCGCGGGGGTCCAACGTGTCGGGGGGCGATACGTGGGGTGGGGGTGGGGGAACGCGCACCTTTCGAACCCTCTTGAGCCCCGGGGGGCCCCTTCAGGGCCCCTTTAGGGCACAAAAGGTGCGCCTTTCTTCACCCTCCCTGTTATCGCACCGCGGTTCCCTTCGCGCTGCGCGCCGCCCGTGAGGCGCGGCGCGCGAGTACCCTCGCGCTCTCGACCGACGCCATGAAGAGACTTCTGGGGAGCTGGGGGGCAGGAGGAGCACGGGGGAGGAGGTGCTTCTCTCTCCCTCCCTCTTCCAGGGGCACGAGGTCATAATAATGATAACTACGTTCCAAGATTTCCTACTATTATCCCACAGGGGCTGCAAGAACGAAGGCCGCTAGAGGCTCCAGAAAACCTGGAACGTACTTGTCCTACCATCCTATACTGCATCTGTTGCTGCGGGCGCGGGGGACGAGGGCGGTGGGCATCCACCGCCCACTGGCGGTTCGAGCCGTCGCTCCCGTGGCCTGCCCGAGAAAGAGGGAAGGCTGAGGTGGTGGAGCCGGCGCGGGGCATAAAAGCTATCATCTCCAGCCACCCCTTCAGTTTCAAGCACAAGTACCTGCAACGTGTTGAAAAACACGTTGCAAGGCTGGTTTTCGCTGTTTTCGGCACCCGGGATCCCTCGCCGGGACCCTGGGCCCTGAAAAATCCACTCGTGGCGAAAAAAGCCGGCCGACACCGTGCAAAAACAAAAATACATCGGACCTTTGGGTCTGGGATACGTGCGGGAGACCTGCAGACCGCCCCCCCGCCGGCCCTCCCCGGAGAAGACCACGAAGAACCTCTTGTCGAGCTTGTCGAGGGCGGCCCGGACCTGCGCAGGCTGTGCCCGCGGTGCTGTGCAACCCGCTCCCGGATCCAAGGCTACAGAGTTGGGAACCGCGCGTTTGGACACTTCACTATCTGAACCCTGTCCCATGGGGCTTCGAAGTGACGACGCAAAACAACGTCTGGTGTAAAATGTTCCGGCCAGTTCTCCGAGCGGCAGGTGTGGTAAAGAAAACAAATACACTGCATTCGGGCCGCTCTTTGCCACTAAGTGGCGGACAAACATAACATAGTATAGTGGCCATTGTGGCCATGTTCCTGCCCTGAAGAATCGGCCCACGGCTACAGAACGACCGAAAACCGACCGAACCGACAGCGACCGAAAACCGACCGAACTGACAGCGAAACTGAAGCCGGCCGAAGCCGACGGGACACAAGCAGCCCAGAAAAGAACAGGAACAGCGACGCAAAACGACACGTCACCGGACCCGAAACGAACCGACAAGACCCAACCGGCTGCGACGCAGCCGAACCGACCGAACCGCAGACACCCTTTACACAGTCGAAAACCCACTTGACGGTCCCCATGGCTATCGCTTCACCCCCTCCTCCTCCTCCTCCTCCTCCTCCTCAATCTCCTCCTCCTTCAAATCACGTGCCAACCGATCCAACTTCCCCGAGGCTCAAAATCTATAGTAATTAAGGCTGCGCTGTAAAAATACACAGCCCCTGGACGCCCAAACCCAAGCCCTCTGAGCAGCGCCCAGCTCACAAGATCTAAGGATGCAAGGGCGCCTTCTCATACTTACCATATATTCCCACTGTGCTGCTCTAGCTCCTCCTCCTTAGTTCGCCGTAGTTGTCGACCGTGCGGCAAATCACAAGAACAATGACGACAAGCAACAGCTCGATCTCTGATTGGTTGTGCGGAAATCTTGGGCGGGAGACGCTGCAGTTGAGGCTGGGGGCCAGAGGGACCTGTGTGAAGCCGCAGACTTTCGGGTACATAAAGGCATGGTGAGAACGTCGGGGGAGCGCAATTCGCCTAAAGAAGCATGCGCGCTGGACAGGGGGATCAGCAAGTACATTTCTCCAAAACAGGGCCATCAATGCGATGTTGCGTTCGCTCTCATCATCTCGCATGCGATGCAACATGGATGCACGGAGCCCTAGACCCCCACCCTCATTGTCTATGAACGTGCCCCCTTTGGGGGTCTCCGTTTCCTCATGCCGGCTCCAGGATCATCCCCGAAAAGGAATAAGGTAAACGTGAAACTCATGGGAAAGTCAGGCTTGTGGGCACCGTGAGGCGGGACGGGCAGGCGGGGGATGCAAGCGGGCGGGCGGGGCTAGAGCAACCAAACCCGCGGACTCTACTGGGCTGTTCGGGCGGGCGGGACATTAAACTGGACGGGTCGAGTCTGGGCGGGGGGACCTTGTTAGGTGGGTCGGGCGGGCGGACCCCGAAAGGCGGTCTGGCGGGGCGGACGCTGACTCGCGGGGCGTAAGGGCGGACCCCAACGAGCGGCGGGTCGGGTGGGCGGGACATTGCGCGATGTCGGTGCGGAAATCCCTGGGAAGAGCGGAGTCCTGAGCTGTGAGAGCGCGATGCCCAAGTCAATCGTCAGATATCGCTAGGCAGTCCCAAAAGAGAGGGCAATTCTTGAGTAATTGGCAGGGGTGTCCCAGACAAGAGTGCAATTTGCGAATCGAGTGTAAGGAGGTCTGAGGCGACAGCGCGATTCTTGAACAGCGACAGCGCAATTCTTCAGGAAGTCGCAGGGACATCTCGGGCGATAGCGCGATTCCTGGATCGTTTGTGAAGACCTCTCGGGCGGGAGCCAGTTGTGCTTTACATGGAGGAATCTGGGAACACACGCATGCCTGGATTCACATGTGGATCATACGGATGCGACCTGCTGGACATACACCCTGAAGCCGGGCGTCCGTTGGCCATGGAAGAGCGGGGCGCTGGAAAGACATCGGGCTGCATGTGCATCCAGCTCTCGCCCAGGCTGGCCGCGTCATGTATCCAGCTTCCAGAGAGCCGCCGCCCTAATGGCACAATGTATCACTGAAGGCTTCTCCTGACAAGCAACAGTGGTGCGAGAGGTTAGGGGGCACTTCAACTGAAAAACGCGGAGGGCACAGGCGAGGGGGGATAAGAAATCGTTATCAGCGCTGACCTGTGCCAGCCAAAGACACATCACGAACCCGAGCCTGCCCCGAGGTACCTCCAAAGCCCAGGTCAGAATGGGGAGGGGAGAAGGAATCAGCTCCACATGGCTCCCCTGACACCCATTAGCGCCGACTCCCGTTACGTGCATCCCGAAGCTAGTCGAGGGGCTCCACTCTGGGCCTTCGCGGAAAATGCACAGATCCGAGCGTGCCACGTTGCCATGTTCGGCTCTAAGCGGGAGACCCAAAGACCTTTCCCACACCTTTCACGCACCCTGGTGCAAAACAAACGGCAGCGGCTGGGAAGGGAGTCCAAATCTGCCACGAATGCAAATCAGGAACAAACGTTGACGCAGTGAGAATACACGGGTCATGCGAGCCATTCCATGGAGGCCAGCAGCAGACTTATCACGCATCACCTTCTCCAAGCGCAGATCATTTAAACATTCGGAGATGGACTGAAGGACGACTTCTCAGCAGACGCGCCAACAATCTCTCACACTTCAATGACGCATTCAATGTATCTCGATCCGTCCCTGGCTTGACGTACCCCTACGATGCAATACTGTGCGGGCCTCGCTCTCCTCAGCCAGCCGCGGCCCGCTATTTGGCCGGAACAATACCAGGATAGGCCGGCGGAAAAGCGTGTTCTCCTCGAAAATGACCTGTGACGTGGCCTCGGCGCGGCCGGCCACGAGAAAGACCAACTGGCTGGTCCAAGGAGTGCACGGACGGATGGCACGAGGGGGGAAGCAAGGAACAGAGAAATAGAGAGGACGCTTTATGCCCAAATTTAGCATATCTTGATGAAGGGTTGGTCGAGACGTGCCTTCAGCCCTTTGCGGCAGAGCGGTGGGCATTGATCTGGATAGCGCTTTCGGAGTGCCTCAGAAAATGAGTTGACGCGCCAGATCTTATTCGAATTCGGCGGTCAAGCGTTCTAGCACCAGAGATCCGCCCCGTGGCGCGAAACTGCATGACATGATGCATGGCATTCTGAGAACTGGGCACTGCACTGCCTACAGGCACGGCACGGCGCATTCTTCGCAATCTAGAGCCAGGGCACGGCACAGCACGCCGGCACGGAACGGCACAATCCTGCACACTCTGTAGCCTAAGCGTGGCGCGGCACTCGGGCACGGCACGGCAGATGTTCCGCACTCTTGAACCAAAACACAGCACTGGACCTGACGGCACGCGGCACGCGGGCACGGCACAGCACATTAAATTACCCGCACTCTGGAACCTGAGAGCGGCACGTGCGGCACATGTCAACCTACATGGCACGACATGGCACGCCACGGCACACGACACGACCGACGGAACCCGGCACGGCACGTCGGCGGCATGCGTTTCGCTTCCTGGGCTCTGGAGATGGACGCCCCCAAAGCATTCTGTGCGAGGCGGGGATTTATCCATATCCACCGCCTGGGAACCGACGTCCTGGTGCCCCAGCGGGCGGTGGATACGGATACATTTCGGCCCCCAGGGGCCCGAACATGTCCATGTCCACCGCCTGCCGAGGCTCCGAGAACTGACCCTCCAGGCGGTGGATATGGATAAGCTCCCGCCTCGGATTCTGGATCAACCACAGCATCCGTCAGCGAGTGAACAGAAGGTCCTCCTCCTCTTCCTCCTCCGCCCCCTCGTCGTCGGCCGCCGCCTCTCCCTCGCCTTCCCCGCCCTTCCCTCCTCCTCCGCCTCGTCCTCCCTCACGCTCTCTACATCCCCAACCTGCACACGCCAGGCTATCCTTCTCCTCCTTCTCCTCCTTTCCCGCCGCCTCCTCCGTCCCTTCTCCTTCTGAAGTCCCCCCCCCTGTCGCACCACGAGACGTGCCCGCAGGCCAGGAGGGAGGCCTCGCTGAAGACGCCCTCCCATTTCACGGATCATGATCCTCAGGCTACAGAAAACCCGGCAGCTACACGGATGGAGCAACGAGGGGCAAGGCGATCCCAATCCCCTACCCTGGAGGATGTTCGATTGGACCATCAAACTCGGGCCCAACTCTGGGACATACGATGGGGGGGCGTCCATTGTGCGTCCGATTAGCCCCTTGGGGGTGTATCCCAAACTTCCCCCTCTTTCCTGAACGGCCGAACTTTTCGGGTAGAACTCGGCGATTGGGGGGGAAATCGCCTGCGATGGAGGGCTGGCCGCTTTCAAAGTGGCGCCTCTCGCCCCGAACGGCACAGAGTCGCATCTGTTGCATGCGTCCGTGAGAAGCCTGGCAGCCTGGGCGCTCAACGCCGTGGGGAGCCCGCGCCAAGAACTCATCCTTGAATCTCGCGCCCATAACCGAGGCCGCCGCCACTCCCTTAGGTGGCAACTCACGGGAGCCGCCCATGCCGCCTTGCTGGCTCTTGCGAATCGATGCTATCCGTCGCTACCCGACGCGGATCAACGCTAATCGACGCGAAATCGACGCTGATCGAGGCCAAGACGCCACGATAACCAGTCGCTGGCGCACGCTGGCGCACGCTAGCGCACTAAGAAGACGGGAATTTCCAGGACATACAAGGCTCCCACAAATTGCTACCGACCCCACCCCTCCTAACGTCGCGCCTCGCGCCGGCGCCGTCCTGGAGATGGCCACACGTAGCCAATCTCCAGGGACGGCGCCGCCGCAAATCGTCACGCTTTGCCCCGGCCCCCTCGCTTCTCCCGCCCCCCCTCCCGCACACGGTGACGCTCGTTGCCTGTAGGGAGTAAAACAGCAGCTGCTTGGCCCGCAGCGCTGGCGTTCCCAGTCGCGCTCGCTGGCCCGCGGAGCGCGCCGCGCCAGAGGCACACTCAGACAGGTGGAAAAGCGGATGGCGGCCGCAGGGGAGGAAGAGAAGGGGGAAGGCTTCGGGTGAAACGAGAACGCGCTCCAAGAAGGAGGAGATTCCCGCACCAAGGAATGAAGTGTAATAACTGACTCAAGACGTGGACGACTTTGGCTGTTATGCGCGGCCCACCACTCTGCTATGGTGGGATGTGGCCTCAGTGCTAAGCGCTCTCCGCGCTGCAAGATACCAGAGCCACTGAAAACAGCGCTCTCCGCGCTGCTCTCAGCAAAAACCGTCCACGTTTTGAGTCAGTTACTGCACCTCATTTCTTCCCCCGCGTCCATGTCTCTGAGCCTCGGTCATCTCCATCACCCTGCTGCGCTGGCCGCCGCGGAGGAAGTCCCCGGTCGCCGGCCTCCCCTTTCAAAGGGGCCGGTGGGGGTAAGAGGAGTGCACGAGGAGGAGGACGAGGAGGAGAGGAGGTGGAGGGGGCGATGGGCGATGCGGAGGAGGGGGAGGGTGGTACAAGAGAGCAGGAGTGAGGAAGAGAATGGGGATGAGGAGAGAGACGAGGACGAATCGGAAGGGCTGGATCTGAAATGCGAGACACAGATGAAAGAGATACGGGTATAGAGTGTGCAACGAGTGAGAATACCCACGGGCTCATGCAAGACGCATGATCACTTGAAAGGCAGTAACAAGGGAACCTATGCACTGCACCATTCGAGAACCCTGTGTGTTGCGCACCGAACAAGTGTTAACTGCACTCGCAATGTGTGTCACTCCGCTGAGGCTCCCAGGACCAGGAGCTCATGGAAGTGGCGACGTTACGACGTTACGCAGTAGGCAGCGCCAAGAACGGGGAGGTTCAGTATATGGGTATGCGCGAAGCGTTAACTTGCAGGAGCTCATGCACAAGTGCAGACAGTTGCACAGTTGGCAAAGCCGAGGGAGGGGGCCTTCAGTTTCGGTCTGCGTAAGACGCCACCTGCCTAGACATCCCAGGATCTCACGAACAAGTGTCGACAGTTGCGCAATTGGCAACGCCAAGGGAGGAGAGGTCCAGTTTGGGATCATGCTGTCCACTTGAACCTCCCATGAGCTACGCAGAAATGCCAACGATCGCACGGTTGGCAGCGCCTGAGGATGTACAATTTGAGTCTGCGTGAAGCGTCACTCCGCTAAGCGTCTCGGGAGCTCACATGAAAGTGGAGACGGTTGCGCAGCTGCCAGCGGCCAGGGAGGGGAGGTCCAGGTTTTGATTCCCTACCTAGGCTCTGCCTAGAAGGGTTCTTACCCTCTAGCTTAAAGGGGCCGGGCAGTGCTACACGCCCCGGGCGGTTCCCGCAGGATCCGTCCCGTGGTTCCCCCAGCTACGTCCCCTTAGCTTAGCGTTGCTAATCTCATCTTAGCTCAGCCTAGCTTAACTTAGCTTCGCTTAACTTAGCTCAGCTCAGCTTAGCTTCGCCTAGCCTAGCCTGACCTAGCCAAGCTTAGCTTAGCTTACCCTACCTTAGCTTAGCCTAGCCTAGTCTAGCTTAGCTTAGCAAAGCTTAGCTTACCTTAGCTTAGCTTAGCGCAGCATAGCGCAGCGCAGCATTAGCACAGCAAAGCAGATCATAGCATAGCCAAGCATAGCATACCATAGCATAGCTCAGCATGGTATAGCATATCGTAGCATATGTAGATGTATATGTAGGTGTATATGTAGGTGTATACGTAGATGTAGCTGTGAGTCTCGCTGTTGATGCTGATGTAGATGTAGATGCAGGTGTAGATGTTAATGCAGCTGTCGGCGTAGATGCAGATGTTGCTTTCCTAGATGCTCCAACTCCTAGGTAGGGTCGCACCGGGATGATTCTGCGTGTGACGCCACCCCGTGACTGCGTGGAAAGCACCGACGCCTTCGCAGTTGGCAGCGCCCTTCGCTGGAGTGGCGACTGTTGCGCGGCTGGCAGCACCCAACAGAGAGGAGGAGAGTAGAGAGGAGGGAAAGGAGCGGCAGAGGACGGAACGGAGACGACGGGAGCAACAGCGCTCTGCTCAAAACGAGCACCCAACGCGGGACGCTCCTTTAAGCAGACCAGCCAGAAACTAAAACCTCTACGCAGCCAAGGCTCAAGGAGGGTTGGATCTGGAGACGACGAAGACGATGATGCTCTCCACGCAACCACCCAAAGTGTTGTGCGCTGGCAAACGGGCCTCCGAACGCAGCGCTGTCGCTGTGGGCGGAGCTATTGCGCATCTGGCCCCGCCAGACCTGAGGAGGCTCCCGCGCACGTCCGCCGGCCGCAGCTGCGAACGGACGATGCGCCGCCGCGCCGGCTTGGAAGCGGGTCGACTGGCAGCTCCCCTCCTGCGAGGCGGGGATCTGTCCGTATCCACCGCACAGGGGCACGATGCTCTGGGGGCCCCAGCGGAGGAGGAGGAGGGGGAGAAGGAGGAGGGGGAGGAGGAGGAGGAGGAGGAGGAGGAGGAGGAGGACGACGAGGAAAAGGAGGAGGATTTGGGCCCCATATGGGGGCCCGAACACATCCATGTCCGCCGCCCCTCGAGGTCCAAGAAGAGGTCATTGGCAGAGCCCAGCCTCGAACGCCTGGGGCCTGGGCGCAGCCCTCGGCGAGGCGAGCCGGGTGCCAGGCTGGCCCGGCGATGGCGGGCCCAAGAAAGCTGGCTCGCCTGGCTGCCCCCCCTTCGATTGAGGCCGCCGCGGGGCAGATGGCCCACCTGGGCAGGGTGTCCGCCGACCCGCCGCGAGCTGTCGCTTCGGGGGGGGGCGCTGGCACGCTCGAAGGCAGAGCAAGCCTGGGCTTGTTCATGGCCAGACGGGAGTTGCAAGCCTGTTTCGGTCTTTGGGGGCCGTCGCCGACCCCAGGACTCACAGGAAACGACTCGGGACGAAACGACAGCCCTGGGGAGAGGGTCGAAACTTCCTGTGGCCCCGTGCTGAAGGCGAGGAGAAGAGAAGCGCGCGACCACTGAACCTCACAACGAGGAGAAGAGAAGCGCGAGACCTCTGAATCTCACCACGGCGTGACTGGCACAGTAGCGTGAAACATACGATCACCAGTCAACGAGGAACGCTGCGCGAGCCGACCTGTCACAGGCAAGCTCATGCGATGAACCGTGGCCTGAGAGAAAACGCGATGTGATGTGGAATGTGAGAAGCCAGAGGGGGAGGGAAAACAAGACGTCGGACCTCTGGGCTCTGGGCCGCGATCCCAGCCGATGCGGGTGACCGCCATGCCCGAGCCAGAAGGAGCCGTGGCTGCGCTGACCCAATGTCTTGGTGGGCCAGCCCGGCGTGGATACCATATGTGCGGTGCATCTGTCTGGCCCAGGGGGGGGGGGGGGGGGGGCAACAACGGAGCTGCCCGACAGGAGGCTGCCTCGGCGGCGGCCGATGTACCGCGACGGGCGCAGATGCCTGGCAGACGAGCCCTCGCCCCATGGACCAGACGATGGCGAACTTTCGTGACGCTGGGGTCTCGAGGCCCCACCCCTCAAAAAGAACCCCCCAGACCCGAGGTGGACGAGAAGCCTCCGAGAGACCCGAAAAGGCCACCCAGACACTCCGAGACATGGACGCAGGGACGCCCTCGGAGCGGGCGAACTGGCGGGGACAGCACAAGGCAAGATAGCGAGTCAGCCGCGAGTCGAACCTCCCGAGGGGAGACGCGGTTTTTTGGGGGGGGGCTCGCTTCTTGTTGCGCCAGGTGTCAGGAAGAGCCTCCGCGCGGCCCCTCCGCCCCCCGACCGCGCAGCCGGAGGGTCAGGAGGGGGGAGCGGGGCAGGCACGCTCACGAGGGCGAGGAGGAGGAGGCACTTCAGCAAATGAGACCGCAGACGAAGAGGAGGAGGAGGAGGAGGAGGAGGAGGAGGAGGAGGAGGAGGAGGAGGAGGAGAAGGAGCTGAGTGCACAGTAGGAAGCTACGCGCGAAACGGAGAAAGATGGAAACCCTGCGCTCCGTCTGCCGTCGACTGCAAGCGTCGGCGCGATGTTCTGTCGCAGTGCCCTTTGGTGAACTGTGTCGGTTGTTGTCTGTTCTGTGTGAGTCTAGGCGGCCCCGGGCGCTGCCCGAGTTGGGCCTGAGTTGGACAAGATTCGAAACATGTGCTTGGCGAGATAGAGACGAGAAGAACAAGAAGGGGGAGAATGAACATGACGGGCGAGGAGGTGCAGGAGGGACTACCAAGTGCGGTCCAACTGCAGGAAAAGCCAACCTCAGAGTCGCCGCTCGAGGCTCTCATGAACAGAAATCGGCATGTAAGGGGTTGGGGTAGGGCGACATGATCATCTTCGGACGATCGGACTCCAGCCGTTGAGATGCTGGATCGGCCATTGCACAAGGCCAGGGCCAGTTCGTCAGAGACTGCGCTTATCTCGTATCGAACACATGCACCGAGACGGATCCAAGCATGGCTGGAAGGTGGTTCGAGGCTCCCAGATGTCGTTAGCCACTTGGCGAACATACATGTGCATTAACCGATCCATGAGATAAGGCGGCTAGCGCCTCAAGCAACATATAGGCTTTCATAGCTTCGGGTCACATGTTCTGAACATCCGTCGAGGGAACTATATCCCTGCGACTGGGTCGGCGATCCAAACGGCACGCTTCTCTCCGGGGAAGTGGCATAGCAAACGATACAACATGGTCGAACGTCCGTTCCTCTGCTGCCGCCAGAGGAACGGCCACGTTTGCAGCACTGGAGCAGATGTGGCATAGCACTCACGCGGCACGAAGGATAATGACCAATCAGCAGCATCGGTTTCCTTTGAAGAGAAGGAGCGGACACTACCATGCCAAAGTCCAGTCGTGAAGCCTGCCTACTGAGAGCGGTGCCACTGCCTGACGGATACGTATGACCGCCATGGCCAAAACTTGCCCCACCAAGCGCTGCCAAGCACGGCCGTGGTGGGCGGAGAACAACAGGAAACGCTGAGACCTGCGTTCGCGCATGTTCCTGTCCAGGGCGCTGTCCTGACCCCTGCGGCCCAAACGGCCACTTACAGAATGCAGCAACGCTTCTTATCGCCCCCACACTCCGCGCTCTGCTGCTACACTTTCCTCTGCTACCAGGAGAGGGAGGAAGAGAGGAGATGAGGCAGGGAAAAGTCAACGACGACGACGACGACGACGACGACGACGACGGTTGCTACCGATTCCCAAACAGCGCTTGAACTACGCACACAAATGCAAACACATACATATACATACATATATACATATTTATATAGTTATATACATATACACACACACCTAGTGCAAACACGAACAAGTAATGCAACAACGCACAACTGTCAGCAGCATCGGGGGTGAGTTGCTCTCGGGGCGCTCGTGGGCCTGCCTTGGAGCCCTTCTGGTCCCCTCTTGGGACTCTCTTGGGCGACTGAGGCCATGCCTGAAGCGCCAGGAGCCCTCTGGGAGCACACCTGCGAGACGCCGAACGTCTGTTTTTCCTTTCCATCGCAACCATCACGTGATTCGATGCTGGCCCTGTACCTCGCGCGCCCGTGCAGCTTGCATCACGAGCCAAACGAGATCCGCGACCCCAATCGAAACGGAAGACTGCCGACGCGTCACGATGTAGCCCTGAGAAGCATACCAAGGTGTGGGCACTTCGGGTTCTTGTTAGGACTTGGCTTGGGAGTGCATGGGGTGAGGATGAGGGAGAGAGGTATATATATATATATATATATAGAGAGAGAGAGAGAGAGCTGTATAGGAAAAAGCGAGGAGATAGAGAACGAGGGAAAAAGAGAGAGAGAGAGAGACAGACAGAGAGAGAGGCCGACGCCGCCACTCGCCTTGCGCCCCCATACGGCACATACCGACCTCCCAGAACCGCGGGAGCCGGTGGACATCTGCATTGTCAGGCCGCGAGCCGCGGGAGGGGATAGGAGGAGGGAGGAGGGAGGAGGGGGAGGAGGAGGGAGGAGGAGGAGGAGGAGGAAGAGGGAGGAGAAGGAAGAAGAGGAGGGGAGGGAGAGGAGGAGGGGGAGGGAGGAGGGAAGGGGGGGAGGGGGAGGATGGCAGGGAAGATCAGGAGGAGGATGACGAGGAAGAGGAGGAGGAGGAGGAGGGGAGGAGAAGGAGGAGGAGGAGGAGGAAGGGCGGGGGCGGAGGGGGAGGCGAAAGAGGGGTGAGGGCGAGCGTCCAACTCTCGATCCCCCGGGGCTTCTGGCGGCGGGTCGGCCACGGAGGAGGGCCCGGAAGGGGGAAGGGGGAAGCGTATCCATATCTAGGGGGCCACATGCGAACCCTGCCCCTACACCCCACGATTTCTCTGAGGGGGGGGGTCACTTCGTTCGGGAGCTCCCGAGCCAAGTGAACCCCACCCTCCCCCTCAGAAATCGTGGGGGGTAGGGGCAGGGTTCGCATGTGGCCCCCTACGATTCTCCGGGCGGTCGATACAAGCATCGCGCCACCATGCGAAGCGCTGAATACGGAAATGGTGAGCTTTACTGGCCACGGCGAGCCTCGGTCACGAGCAGGCTCCCGAGTTAGACACCTCAGGGACGACCCTCAAACCAGAGCCTCCCACGAGCCTAAAGTGTTACTAGTTTCAACGTCCTGGCTGCATGTGCGGTCAGATTTGTGTTCTTAGCGTGCCGCGGCGGCGGCACGATGAGCCGTGCGAGCGGATAGCGTGTCGCGCCGCTCCGCGGGGCGGGAGGCTGGGAAACACTGGAGGCGCTGATACTTCAGGGCCGGGACGCGGGTCAGCGCGTCGCGCCGAAGCTCGGTTGGGGCCAGAACTGCAGCGCGACACGCTGACCAGCAAAACTCCCGACCGTACGGACTCTGGCCGCGGAGACCCTCCCTGGGAAAACCAGAAGGTACCGACAGTGCCAATCCCCAGACCTCTCCTGGGGTACGTTCTGGCCAAACATTTGAAGCGCATCCAGCGGTGGCGACGAGGGCGTCCCAGGAGACCCCGACAAAAAGAAAACGACGGAAGGGTCACGGTATCTCCTCCTCTGCGCCCCCCCCCCCCCCCCCCGGTTTGGCCATGCGCATACGCAGGCGGCGGTCGCGATGGCGCGGAACACCCAGGCGCGAGACATCCGCGGGAGCCGTGTGGAAGGCTCCTCCCCGCGGCGGCCCACTCCCGCCCGCGGGCCTTGCTCCGGCCCCTGTTCCTGCCCGTGCTGCCGGTCCTTATGCTCCTCCTGCTGTTTCCTCCCCCAACCTCCTCGTCACGTCATCATGCGGCCGCTGTTGGCCCTCCTCATCCACCTCCTCTTCCTCCTTCTCCTCCTCCTCCTCCTCCTCCTGCTCCTCCTCCTCCGTCCCTCCTCCTCCCTCCTCCTCCTCCTCCTCCCCCCTTGCTCCTCCACTGTCGTTTCTCTTCTCCCTCCCCTCGTCCACCTTCTCTTCTCGCCCATCTCACTTCTTTTCCCCCCTCTTCCTCCCCCCCTCCTCGTTCCCAGCTTCCTGGTCATCCTTCCCCTCCTTTTCCTCCTCCTCCTCCTCCCCTCATCCGCCTCCGCCTCCTCCTCCTCTTCGTCCTCCTCCTCCTCCTCCTCCTTTTCCTCCTCTTCCTCCTCCTCCTCCTCCTCCTCCTCCTCCTCCTCCTCCTCCTCCTCCTCCTCCTATCTCTTTCTCTCTCTCTCTCGCTCTCTTGCTGCGCCGCCGGGCGTTCCCGATCCGCGCTGCCGCGCCGCCGCGCCGCCGCGCGCACCAGGCGCGCCGCGGGCGGGAAGCGCGGAGGCCCCCACGGTCCACCCTGGGACCCTGTTTCCTGCCCGTGCGCTGCATCCTGAGGCCCACCGAAGGAGAGGGATGAGTAGTAGAGGACAGGCTGATCATTGGATGTCGTGGCGGTTGCGGATGACTTAGCACCTTGTCTCTATCGGCGTACATGTCGTACCTAGTCCCTGTAGACGAGGATGCGTCATAGTCACTGGGTTGACAACAATGTCAGTTGCACCAAGAGCTGTCGGATTCAGAGTTGGCCGTGCTCACCGTCGCCATTGTGAGGTGCCGCTCGATGAGCAAGTGGTAGTTCCTGTAGGGCAGCAGGCAGGCCTCTTATACCGCTGTGCGCAATGGCGATGCGCTCTCTGTGCTCGTCGTAAGAGATGCGGCCCGCCTCGTAGACGGCCTCTAAAGGTACGGACCCGCAGCTGGCGCTATCTGACCCAATTGTCCCGGCAGTTGGTTGCGATATTGCGTATGCCTCGTGGTCGGAGCTCTGCTTGGTGGCCGTCCTAGCTCAGCTGGTTGCCCTTGTAGATCTGGTGGCCCTCGGAGCTCTGCTGGTAGCCCTTGCAGCTCCGCTGGTGGCCCTTGTAATTTAGTTGGTGACCAGGGGTGCTCAGGTTGCAGCCCTCGTAGCCCAGCTGGTGGTCCTGATAGTTCTAGTGGCACAGGTAATTCACCTGGTGGCCCTTGAAGCTCTGCTGGTGGCTCGCGAAGCACTCCTGGCAGATCCTTGAACAGGAGATGGTTCTCGTAACTCTGCGTGCCCTGCTGGCTGGTCCTAGAAGCTCCTCCCGGTGCCCGCGTAGCTCAGCCCGTGGTCCTGGTAGTTGCGCTGGTGGCCACGGTGGCTCAGCTGGTTTCTTGCGGCAGATACGGAGGGTATATGGGCGGACCTGGCCTGGTGGTCCTCACATCTGCGCGACATCTTCCACGTCGTCATGTCAGGGCCGCGCGGTGGTAGTAGCGTCGTCCCTGCTGGTCGAGGTAGCTGGTAGCTGTTCCGGCCAGGTGGCAGGGAGGCTGGTGATGGCGCTTTCGCGGTTCGGCTGGTAGCCCTCGTAGTTCAGCTGGCGGTCCTCGGATCCCTGCCTGTGGTCTTCGAAGCTCTTCTTGTGGCCATGGTAGCTCAGCGCGTGTTCCCAGTAGCTCAGCAAGAGGCCCTCGCAGTTCAGCTCGTCGCTCTGGTGGCACTGCGGGCGGCTCTTGTAGCTCTGCCCGTGGCCCGCGAAGCCCAGGCAGTGGCCCTGGTAGCTCCGCCTTTGGCCCTCGTGGCTCAAGCTGGTGGCTCTCGTAGCTCCTGTGGTGGCTGTGGTAGCTCCCTTGGTGGCTCTTGTAGCTCGGCGTGTGGTCCTCGTCAGTACCCCCGCTTGGGGCCCTCAGCCTGTGGTCCTCGTAGCTCATGAGGTGGACCTGCTTGTGGCTTTCGTAGCTCAGCCTGCGGTCGTCGTGGCTCAAATTGTGACTCCGGTGGCTCTGCTGGTGGTTCTCGTAGCTCGGCAGGTGGGTCTTGAAGCTCTTCTGGTGGTTGCCGTAACTGTGGGCGTGGCCATCGTAGTCCAGCTTGTTGTCCCTGAAGGTCGTCTGGTGGCCCTAGTATCTCTGCTGGTGGCTGTAGCAGCTCAACGGGCACGGTCGCTTCGTAGTTCCCGCGGTCCGAATCGGAGTCGTCGGCTGCCAAGTCGTACTGTTCCTTGTTGCGGGTGTCCCTGTAATTCTGGCGGCTGTCGTAATCCTGCGGCCCGTCGTAGTCCTGGAAGCCAGATCAGTCCTGGGGGTCGTAGGAGTACACGTCGTTGTTGAAAGCAACTGTCGTAGTCGCACTCGTCGAAAACCCTTGTCGGGCTGCTCGGTCGAGCCGTTCCCTGAGCCAGTATTGGTGGCATAGCTGGTGTTGTAGTGGTGGTGGTACTCGTCCTTGGGCTTGTTGTTTCGCAACTCGTTGTCGTGTTGCGAAGCTCGTTTTCACACTGGGGATGCCGGTTACTCTGCTCGTGCTTGGACACTCTTGCGAGGGCGGCCGTTGCAATGATGGGGATGCCACATCGAGGCTGTATCCCATGCTGGACGCTGCACCCCACTCATGATTGGGCAGCGTCTGTCCTCGTGGTTCAACAACTAGCGGTGGATGCCGTAGTCGCGATATGCCTTGGCGTCAAGTGATCTCGAAGGATGTCACGCCGATATTGATGACATTCGCGTGCTCCCTGATGTTTTTCACGCTGATCTTGGTGATGGTCCCGTCGGTCGTGATGTACTCCACGTGGATCATGAAGTACTCGGTGGCGATCGTCTCGCACGGCGCGCCGTCCGCCACGTGGCCGATAACGCGCTCGAGCCAGACCTTCTCTCCCGCGGGTGATGGGGAGCACCCCCCCCGTAGGGACCAAAATGGCCCTCCACCTCATCCTCCTCCGCCTTTTCTTTCTCTGTCCTCTTCCACCTCCTCTGTCCTCTTCCCATTCCTCCTCGCTCCACTCATCCTCTCTCATCTCTCATCTCTGCCTCGTTGTCCTCGTGGCGCTTCCTCTTCCTACTCGTGTTCCGTCTGTCCTCTGTCTAATCAGCCGATCCCTTCCGTAATAGTTCCTCAGCGTGCCGAAGCCCTCACAGCGCCGATGCGACAGGTCGTGGCGCTCTCTCACGTTGTGCGCATGGTGTCCGTTGCGTCCGTCTACATGCATGGCCAGCGGCCAGCGCCTCTCGCGCCAACGCCAGACTTGGCCATTTCGGGTTGAAGATCCGGGATGTCTCGGTCTGTGGTCCCCCTGAAGTAATCCTATGATCCAGCGGCCTGCGGTAAGTCTCGCTGCCGTCCCAGCGCAGCACACAGTGTGGCGACGCCTGGGGCACCTCCCAACAAGCTGCAAGATCAAAACACCAATCGTCTCTGCTACCTCAAGGCCCGTCATCGGTCATAGGGGCTACTGGGCATCTTGGGGCTATCTTGGGCTCCTGAGGAGCCCTCTTGGGACCCTCTTGGGTCGTGTTGGGATTTTCTTGGGCCCATCGTGGTGCCACCATAAGCTTATTTCGGCCGTGGGGGATTATTGATGCCATCTTGTATCCGAATAAGTTCTCGTTGTTTCCGCGCCCCTCCTTTCCCTTCGTTCTGCCTGCTGCTGATCATCCTGCCACTCCTATTGTTGTTCATGCTGATACTGATGCTCTTCCGTCTTCTCCGACTCCTCCTGCTCCTCCTCCTCCTCCTCCTCCTTCAACCCCTCTTCATCATCATAGGCATCATCCCCGTCATTACCACCTTTACCAACATCACCATCGTCATCATCGGCAGCAGCATCACCATCATCATCACCATCATCCTTTATTATCCTCTTCCTCTTCCACCTGCTCACCCTCGTGTTTATCCGCCGCCTCCTTTCCCTCATCCTCCAAATGTTCATCGTCCTCCTCCTCCTCCTCCTCCTCCTCCTCCTCCTCCTCCTCCAATGTGCAACGCGACCTGCTCTGATTGCGCATCACACGATGGGGCAACTTGGGGGGGTCATGATCTTTCAAGACACCCCGCGGATACAGACTGGGGTGGATGGGAGAGGTAGAAAATCAACTATGACGCAAACGCGCCGAACTTTCCCTTCCTCCTCCCTTCCGGTTCCGCTCCCCCTTTTTACCTGTCCTTCCGTCCATCCTGTCCTCCCTGTTCACCCTTCACCTCCCGCTTCCCCAAGGTAATACAACTAGGCGGTTCGCCACTTCGTCAAAAAGCAAGCGGAGGAGGAAAAGGACCCCTCACCCCCCCCCCCCACCCTGCAAAGGCTTACCAAGAACCCGACAAGTTGTTCAAACACCTCCTCGGAACTCGGCCCTCGATTCCCAAGGGGGCTGGCAACTCCCCTAATTGTGTCCACCCTTCCCCCTCACTCTCTCTGTCCCCACCTGAGGGGCAACGTTCCGGGGGCCATCTTAGGGGGGGCGGGGGGGGGGGCATGGAACTGGAATCAACGATATATCGCAGATAAATCGGCGATAGGCTCTCGATAGCGGGTCCGCACGCTCCTGTGCGGAATGGGCAATTCGGCCCCTCATCGACGACGACTTGGCGATTGGTGGTCGATGCCCTGAACCTGAAAAAGCTAAAATTGCTCTTAGCCGCCACGTCCCGCCGACGAGAGCAACGCCAACTGGGCGCACCGTGCAAGTGATATCGCCTCGTCTGCAAACGCCGTCCCCCGAGACGTTGTCACTGGTTCGCGGGGTGCCTCAAGAGCCCTGTGGGCCTCAACAAGATCAGAACACTCTGCAGGGCACCTGCAATCTTAGGTCACGTGCCTGCTATGCCACCTGGAAAGGTCCTGGCCGAGACAGGCCCTGTGCGTGGAACGCCAGAGGATATCAACATACC